AATTCCAAAGAACAATGTTCAAATCAACCCTGTTGAAGTTTCAGCTCAGTATAAATTACACATTTTCGAGAAAACAGTGAAAAACCATGATTTTGTCAGGCACTCTTTAATTTCCCAAAAATCAGTTAATTGACTGTTCGTTGGAAATCACCTATATTTGTTGATTTCTTCTGAATGACAGCAAACCAGACGGAATAATTTCACGATGTGTTTAGTACCAGTACGATGCTTAATCTAAGTAAGCGTTTTGATAATAATTGGGTAGGTTACTTTTTGGAAAGATGCAAATGATCCTATGTGCCTTTTAACACATCTGAGCGATGCAGTAGAGGAGTACGTACATGCTACACATGACTCAGTCTGAAAGCACCCACGAGCAAGGGACTCATAACAGATCGTGTTCAGTGAGGAACCACTTGCCGTGGATTATTGATAGCTAGGGGTACAGATGAATGAACAAAGTCTCAATGCATCGCACCTTCTCCTGTACAATGGAGACAAATGGCAGTATGAGCAGGCAATCCTTCTTGTTGCATAGCAACTGCCTCATGATGAGTATCTCGGCAACCAGGGTCTTGCCTCCGCTGGTAGGCAGGGAGTAGATGAGGTTGCGACCCTCCTGGATGGCCGGTAGAGTCAGGCAAGAATGCTGCCAGTCTAAATAAAATGAGAAGGAAATTCAATTTTTGTAAATGAATATTGCCCAGACACAAGGCCAAAGCCATTTTAAGTTGCGTTCCCTGTGCTATTTTCGAGTTTAGTCCCAAAAAATAGATTCCTTTTCTAAATTTCTATTTTTCTAGCGATACAAATTTTATTCACTTTTGAATGAGACATCGACTGAAGAAAAGTGGGCCCATGTACAGTTACCAAATTATACTTAACAATTTCAAATTATTGGCTGCCAGACAATAATTTTGTTCCTGCAGGGTAGGCTGGTTCCAGCCCCAAAATCAGTATCAGACCCGGAGCCAGTCTGCTCGCAAAGAAGATCTGTTTGTACCCAAAACAAAAACCCCTTATTTCAAGGGTTGAAAAACCCTTATTTGGGGAGTCGGGTTGGCGTAGGGAGTCAGGTTGGCGTAGCGGTACTTTCCTCGCCTTCCACCGCTGTGACCCGGGTTCGAATCCCGCCTGGGCAAATATGTTGATTGGGTTTTCAGTCTGGGCTTTTCATCCCCCTTAAAACTGTACTTTCTATTCATTGTCTTCTCTCCACAGGTTTCTTCAGGTTTGCGAGCTACAGTGCCTAGGGCGCTTTTGAGGAATCCTTGGTTTCATTACCAAATATGATTAATAATAATAATAATATCAGAAAAAAAGTTGATTTGATTCCTCAAGATTTGACTGATGTTTATTTCCCCCGACAAGTATGCTAGCTTTCTGAGACTAGCTAGCATAATTCAATTATTCAATAACCAACATATCTTGCCAAAATCTCACCATAGAGTTTATCTATTCCCCTATGGGTCTTCAGCAGCTCTGCCACTTTACTGGGTAGACCGTAAAAAGGTCCAATGTCGTTGTCTTTTATTGCAGTAGATTTTCCGAGCATTTCCGTCAAGGCCTCTTGCACTTTGGCCTGACGCAGCTCCGAGTGGCGCGTTTGCTGCGGCGTGTCCACTCGCGCATTGTTCTGTAGTCTCTGCCGCAGCCTGCTCGCGGCCGAAACAACTTTTGGGGTTGTCAGTTCACTGCGAGGTACATCGGTTGAGGTTTGCAGTTGACCATCTCTGGAAATGTGTCGCTGATTGGCCGACGTCGCTGGATTCTGATCACTGGATGGCTTCTCAATTTTGGACGACTGTGGTTGAGAAATCAGAGATTTCTTCTCTGCTGTCTCGATTTGAGAGTCTGATCTTGACTTTGGAAGACTTTCGGAATTCTGACCTGGCATGTTTCTGGTCCTGTCATCCAATTGACTGAACCACTGCTCTTGTTTAGAAGTCACAGAATTTGGTTCTGTTGGTTTGGTCTCCTCTCTAAGCGGAAACTGTTGTGTATGCAAACAACCATTCGTCAGCACCCGATTACTTGTGACACTGCATTTTCTAAAGCTTGTTTCTTGTGAGATTCCCTGATGAGCTTGAGACCGCGGCGATAATTTTCCCTCGTTTGTCGGGCAATCGCCAATTTTTGCTTGGGAGGATGAGTCAAACCTGTGTGGGGTGCCAAAAAAAACAAATAAGATATTAATAGTTTGCGACACATTTTGTTGATAATTGACAATGTAACCTGTGATGAACATTGCAGATAAAATAATAAAGTTGACGTGGTTACAAAAAGTTGAAGCACAGCAAACACCTCATAACTTGGTGCTGTAATTTTGTAACTTCAGAACAAGAAGTGTTGTTTAATTTTGTTGGTACCCGCTGTGCTTTTGCACGCGTACGGAGGATCGTTTTATCCAGGAAGCAAACTCGTCAAATCTTGATTTGCGCACACACAGTTGAAATACCGAACTAGCTTATTAAAGAAACATCATGGTGCTACGAACCATTCCCCGTTGTATAACACACTGTGGTCGTTGCCAGACGAACTTGCTTTGGTGACTTCAACAACTTTCGGTTTCTGGGACTCTGCGATGATCTGTTCCACGTCGAGTTTGTCGTAGAACGAATCTTCGCCGTCCCAGTCCCCGAACGAGTTGTTTTGTAAGTTGCTTGTGGCATGTTGCGTCGCATGCAGCTTCACAGGCAAAAGTCGTTTGTTATTTCTGTGGCTGGAGCCTTGCGGGGTCGGTGGTAGTGGACTGGAACTGAGCGACGCCTCCCCTTTCTCCTCCTGGAAAAATCAAATGAAAGGATTAGATTATCACATCAGAACATCAGAATGACTTGAGTCAAGTCATTCTTGGGCAGTGACTCAAGTCAAGTCCAGTCATTAGGATGACAAGGTCGAGTAAAAATTGGATCAGGGATAATTTCAGTAACGATAGTATGAGGTAGGAACAAATGCGCATGCGCCTAATTGCTGCTACTTGATAACCATACTTGATATGAAATTGTAGCTTGTTATTTGCATTGATGAGCCTTTGACTCTGGTCAAGTCCATTTACCAATATAACAGATTTTTTGGGCAGCAAGACTTGAACAGTCAAAGTTTCCTTGAAGGAGCAATATTTTGATCACAAGGAATAAAAATATATTAGACACAACAATCACATACATGTACCTCCTCTAACGAATTGGAGATGTGACTGCCTGTGCGTTTAGCAGACCGTGAGTTTTGAGAGTCAATTTCAGTGACCAATCTCCAGTCTTCCTCATCATTGTCACCATCCGGCCACACTAAGGGACTGCTTAGCCCCTGGATGCTCCTTGGCGCTCCCCCATGACTAACGCAACCCTCACTGGCAAGCTTGGTGTCTTCCTGATTGTCAGGGTGCCTGCTTTGAGATTTAAACAAAGGCCTCTTATGCTGGATGGATCCAATTTCTTCACGACAGCTTAACTTTGTAGGCGTCTTAGCAATGTTAAAAGTATGAATTGTACTTGTTGTATCAGGCAGATGAGTTCTTCTTTTCCCCTCCAACTGATCAGACAGAAACACCCCCTCAACACGCAATGGTTGTTTCTCTGCCAAGAGTGTGCTGCATAATGAATCAGTTGGATTGTGGACTGTACCACTATTGCACAAGGTGTACGTTTGACAGGATTTTTGGGAGTTTTCTCTTTCTGCGCTCTTGGGTTTCTTTGTGGCAGTTGTTATACTTCTTGCACTGGTATTGGTCAGGCTTCGCTTTCTTGTTGCTACTCTCCGTTGCGGTCCAGCATTTGGTTTGTCAACATTCGACATTGTAATCTGCATCCTGTAACGTAATAAAAGTCAAATTAATTACACAATCAAAAGTTTCAAAACTGCAGCATTAGTCACTTTTAGAACTGCTCTTTTCTTTTTTTGGTCGTTGCTATTTTTTTCAGAAGTTCGACTGATGGCCATGTATCAACCAAATGGTTCTCAGACTTTACTTCCCCAAACTGAGATCCATGAATCACAACGAAAACTTAAGTCTGGCCTTCAACAGCTGCTTTGATGAGTTCAATACATAAGAATGGGTTTTCATTCCCTTTGAGAGACATTGGGTACCAAATTTGACGTAAAAGTGGTGAAAGCATTTGAAATTAAGGGCCTTATTAATAATGATATCAATTTTAATATATAGTCACTCACTTCAACTGTAATATGGGTCTATCATTAAATTGTCGAGCGCAATCTGGATGCTTTTGGAAGTATATTGTCTTCCCTCTGAATTCATATCCCTATGAATGGATTTCATTGAACGGGGAATGAGCTCAGGAGGGAGTGCAATAAACTTATTGCGCAAGATTCCAGATTGCACTCGACAAAAACACGGTTTTTACAAATACATTTGACTAGACCGGTGTACTGGGGAACATGGCGTGTAAACACGCCACGTTCACAAATACATTTGACTAGACCTCAGGTCTCTCATTTGACTTGTTTACAAAAACGATAAAAAAAGTAAGCATCAACATGATCAAGGACTAACATCAATGACAACGTCAATCTGGATTTGGATCAATACTGCAAGCAAACTCCATGGGATGAGTTGCAATGCAGGTGAATTATTTTTAGGGTAAAATTTTGATTGCCCCCCCCCCCAAAACCCCAAAAAACAAATGATTTTATAATAATACTGGGCCAATCAACATGATCAAATGCACAAGCATGAGACAATTATGGACGACAAACAACTCACAACTCTGAATTACAGCCAGCTCAGCAAAACAGTCGATCAAACATATTAAAAACATCCCAAAAAACCTGCAAGATGGACAATCTGACACTGAACGTTAACCTAGGGCCTATTTAAATTTTGTGCACAAAATTAATGTGTAGCAGATGGTGTCTCTGGGTTTCAGACACGATTCCCCATAAATTGTAAAGGCAAGTTAGTATGGCGTCCAGTTGTAATCGGATTAGGTATGGTTCCCTACTCATCGGCACAACAACTGGACGTGGTTTTAGAATGGAACCTGTTTTTTTCAAGTTGTCAACAAAAATTCGCGAAGATGGCTGCTTGGCAAGTGATCTGCAAAGAAGTCGCCAATTTGCGAGAGCAAATGGCAAGAAATGGACGGTTTTCAGCGGCGATCGGTTGCCTGACATTGCTCACCGTTGTCTTTTATAAGTGAGTGGTATTTCATTCCATTCATCGGATGTTTTATTCCGCAGAAATCATTGAGATTTTAACAGAGTCGGTGGTCTACATGGTCTAATAAGAAAAAGTTCTTCAGTCATGTCGGTCAGTTTAAAAAGGGCTGTCTGAAGGGGGGCGGGGCTGAAAATGAAATTGTTAGAATGGGCAGTGGGCTTCAAAAACATAATTAATCCGCGATGTTTCACACGATTTGTAAGGTCTGAACGTGCCTCATGACTAATGAAGGCTTTTGATTAACATGATGGGGAAAAAGACTTTAAAATGCCTGTGATTGTGAACATTGTCACTACTCCTAGAACTATGAGGCTCCGCGTGAGCGGAGCCTCATAGATCAAGAAGCCCGCAAAATTGCCTGCAGCACAAAACACTAATAAAGTACAAAAACGTCCATCAAAATGCAGCCATTTCACACAGAACCGCTGCACAGTTTGCCCCTATACTCCGTACTTTATCTCTTGACATACTCACGTATCTTGTGCGGAACTAACATAGGTGGATTCTGTCGGTTAGGCCAAAATGATGAAAAATATGCCCTTTCCGCACTGAGCCAACCTGACACTTGAAACGTGCACGCATATGATCGAGCGATGATTTTCGGTTCGCTCGGAGCGCGCCGCGGGGGGTACGGTACAAGCGAAATGATGTGCATGCGTACAAGTGCATGTACCGTACCCCCCGCGGCGCGCTCCGAGCGAACCGAAAATCATCGCTCGATCATAATGCGTGCACGTTTCAAGTGTCAGGTTGGCTCAATGCGGAAAGGGCATATTTTTCATCATTTTGGCCTAAAAACCGACAGAATCCACCTATGTTAGTTCCGCACAAGATACGTGAGTATGTCAAGAGATAAAGTACGGAGTATAGGGGCAAACTGTGCAGCGGTTCTGTGTGAAATGGCTGCATTTTGATGGACGTTTTTGTACTTTATTAGTGTTTTGTGCTGCAGGCAATTTTGCGGGCTTCTTGATCTATGAGGCTCCGCTCACGCGGAGCCTCATAGTTCTAGGAGTACATTGTCACATGAGGCAAATCGATTATATTCACATTGGTTTCCGCCCTAGTCCCTCCATGATTGGTCAGAATTCATATGGGCGGGAACCAGTTCATGCATACCCTGGTTCTCGATTCCACTACTGTCGTTCAGAATGGACTTGTATACATATCATACAAGCGGGAACCAGTTTATGTAATTTCCCAATGTGTCATTGTTGTCTATTTGTTCATTGATATACATGTTATATTTTAATTTCTTGTTTCTCACCCTCAGCCATCTGTCCATCCTCGCCATACCATGGCTCTTCCTGGGCGGCATGGCTTCGTTCTACATCCTCTTCAGTCGCATCTCAGTCCTTCCCAACCTTCTGATCATGTACGAGAGAAAGAAGCCACTCACAGCCAGAGAGCAACCATTGGCCCACATCTGCACTGTGTGTGGCGACTCAGATTGCATGAGGCATAAGTATGCAGCTAACTAGCCCCATATGTGGCCAATTTACTGGACTACCTCGGTAAATAAAGGCCCCATCACTTCCATCATGTACAAAAACATGTCGAATTTTGTCAAATTTTGATTTTCACATTTAGGCTTAGTTTGTTGGGTTTTTTTGCTTTAGAAGCATACTCACCCTCTTGATAGGCTAATCAGAAAGTGCTGCCTTTTTCAGATGTCTAATTTTCGTGAAATTTCCTGTTGAAATTTTGATACGCAAACGTGTGCAAACGAATCTGGAATTTCACGCAAAATAGACATCTGAAAAAGGCAGCACTTTCTGATTAGCCTATAAAGAGGGTGAGTATGATTCTAAAGCAAAAATAAACTACAAACTAAAGTCTAAATGTGAAAATCAAAATTTGACAAAGTTCGACATGTTTTTGTACATGGTGGAAGTGTGGCCTTTATTTATGGAGGTAGTCCAGTAAATTGGCCACATTTATGGGGCTAGCAGCTAACCAACTTTTATGATAGAGCTAGTGCAGTGCCCGTTGAAAACGAAACTGTTCGGAATGGGCAAATTGCTTGGGCTCCGGTAGACCTGCAAACGTGGCGGTATAGAGTGGAGTGCCTGTATAACAGCGCGCCATATCTACACCTCACCGTTGCGCGATCCTCCCCTTCAAAAAATGGTCAGGCCAACCTCACCGTTGCTCGATCTTCCCCCTTCAAGAAATGGTCGAGCCCAGACAGCCAACTATTTTTGATTTTGAAAGCTGTTGATTTAAACTCAAAGTGGACTCCTGTATATGAAGATGTACAAAAGCTTTCGGTATTTTGATTTTAATGGTGAAGTCTTGACAAGAAAATTTTACATGATGGCTCTCTAAATTTTTTTGTTCTTCACAGGTCGGATCTTACATTGAACAAAGTACAACCGTGGAATGACATCTATATACCAGAACGAGTGGATGTGGCCCTGTCAGAGGTAGGATTCTGCTTGTATAGGTTCTGTGCTTTAACATTTAAAGAGTTTTGTTTATACTACAGTGCCTTTACCTATTTTAATCTCAAGAGGACTGTCTGTATCGAAATACACGTATTGGAAATATGGTGGAAATACATGTTGCATAATAAATTTCCATCTCCATGTTTCTCGATTTCATTTGCAGCTTTTTGAGCTGATTTTTAGAGATTATGTCTACAGCTGGTACACGTAAGTGATTAAATTTGTCTGTCTATTTTGTTTTTATTACTTAATTTTTTTCCCCCAATTCTCACAAGTGTTTCATCTACTTGGTTCATTCCAGGAACCACTTCAATATGTGTCCTTCAAGTTTTACATTTCCTGCCATTTACTCCTGTTAAAACCAGAAACGCGGTACAGGAATTAACATGTGAGGTGGTTTGGGGTAGTAAAGAGTCTTTTGGGGAACCCCCAACATAGGGCTGGACATAGCTCTGTTGGTAGAGCACCGGAACAACAATCCTGAGGTCACAGGTTCAAACCTAGTTTTAAGTATCACCCGTTGATCAACGAAGCCCTCTCTGTGTCCGGTCCAACGTCTAATATATCTAAGCATGCAAATTTATGCGATCCCGCGCACCAGCCAATCGGAGTCGACTTTGTAAACTGTGACGTCATTTCGATCAGAAATGTGGACTAAGCTGTTGATTGGTCAATTTGGATGCCATGTTTTTGTAATACAATAACAGGCATGGAGATCTGATAAACCTGGACATGACATTGGCTCTCAAACCTGGTAGCAAAATGCTGTGCCTATCGAAAGCTCATCGTGGGCATCTCGTGAACGCACCAGAGAGCATTCATATTGCGAGTGTTATTTAACATAATATGTGATGATCAATCAAAGCCACAGGACGTTCGCATATTGCCTAACATATCGTTACAGGCTCCATGATGCAGCCTATTTTTGCGAACACAATTCACAGCGTGAAGAATAATAGATTTTGTGTCAAGGTTTTATTATATGTCCATGACAACGGGTTACCGAAGACCCAATATAGAAGGTGCCTGCTGAATGGTCAGAATCTCGAGGTCAAGATGCAGTCTCGTTTTGCATAATTAATCGCCGAATCTGCTCACACTTCATAGACCCTTGCTGTACAAGAGGAAATTCCATACACTAGTTCAAACCCTGTTCCAAATAATTTCTTTGTTTCAACTTTAAAATTATTATAATGCACGTAGTCAGTCCCCTTTGTGGTGGTAAGGCCTTCTTTATCCCAGAAGACAATTCCTGTGATTTTTCACTGAAATCCCTCTGCCCACCCCATCATTCTCGGCAGTCCCCTGATCAGCAAGGAGGAAGAGTTTGTTAATGAGCTTCGAGTTACCCTTCGTCACCTGGTCGCCGTGGTACTACGCCGTGTCAGAGATGTGGACCTGCCGACGTTCATACTTGACAAACTCGTCAAGGCGGCCTTGTGCCATCTAGATGTCTTGCTCAGAGCAAAGCAAAAAGGTATTGAGATCTTGAAAGTCATCTGCAAGTGAACATTTGACATTATTGCGTTGTGCCCTTCGTCAACGTAGTTTCGTAAACACTGTATACTCGGGTTTTCTGAGGCCTTGAAAAAGGGTGAAATATTCACACAATCACTCAGGTGGGACTCAAACCCTCGACCTCCTGCTTACTAGTGCAGACGTCTTACGGTGTGTAAACAGCTTTTGATGAGATTACGTCAGTGAAGGGGAAAACCAAATTTAAATTCACATTTCCCTTAAGCAGGCTGTTATAAATTAAAACTATTCGCCAACCCATCGTACTCTACAATCAACTCCGGATTGGGTAATTTTTTAATAATTTTTTCTATTCAACAAAGTTTATAATTCACAAATTCCTCATTCAAACATAGCCAAATACCATTGCGAGTACCCCTTGAAAGTAGCTGGAACTACTGACCCTGCAAATCCTAGCCAAACAACAGCCTCATGACAAGAACAACATGCTTATGCAATAGAATCCTTATAGTGAGGCTAGCCGGGCATGTCGCAGGGCATGGATAATCAATCTTTAAAAATTATAGTGAGGCAGAGGCTGCTAACTAGCTGTTATTGGTTCTAATAGATTTTGTTGATGTTGTTAGATTCTGTTGGATTGAGGCTGTTTTCAAATGATCATCTGAAGTGGAATCGGTTTAGTATTTAACAAAGATTACAAAATCGTCGAGTATGCTGCAGAAGAATTTTACTTTGATAAATCTTAACCCCGCAGGATCCTTCTAAATTCACTTGAAATTGTTTTGAAAGAATTTGGATGATTGAGGAATGTAATGTAAGCAAAAATAATTTGTTGTGGAAGTAAATGTTAAAAAAAATGTACTGTGGTTTAGGTTCCTTCAGAGTTGACAATTTGTGAGGATCAGGAAGGCTTCAAGAAAAACTATTCAGGAAGTTAGAGGTAAAGAATGTAATTGTCTTGAGAAAAAAAGTTAACTATTTCTTTTTTTGTAAATCCCCAGCCAAATGGGGAGAGGACTTCCAGGAGCTTGTGTTCAAGACCTACGGTAATCATCTACACTGTGCGGTCAGGAATCGCAAAGCGGAGCTGGAGTACCTCAGGCATCTATGTGAAATGCTGTTCCCATTGTTGATTCCCAGGAATTCACATGACAATAAGTAAGTGCGAGTCTCAAAGGGTCATACTAATGGACATAGGCACAAATAGAGGTGTGCATAAACAGCTTGATTAGTTCCTGGGTAGTGTTTTGACAAAATTAGAGTACCAGGAGTATCTTAATGATTTGCAGATTTTGACGGGAACGGAAGAGTTTAGACAACTGTTGTTCCTGTAGTGCTGTGCCTTTTTGAAAAAAAAAATTGTTCTCGATTATTGAAACTTAGATTTGATCAAATATTTGAATAATTGAACATTCACATATTTGGTAATTTACAGCACGGCCATATGTTCCTGTTAATGGTTCCAGCTAAATCCATACAGTAACAAGTTTAGAAAGAACAATATTGCTTCTATTATGAGATGTGAATTTGATAATGTCTTGTACAGTAGAACATCACTATAACAAACATGATGGGGTCCAGAAAAGAGGGTTATAGTGATAGAGTATAAAGTGCAACCTCTTTTGGCGGGTTGGGAAATTTAATTTTACCTTCTGGACATGATAATGTGCCTAAAAAGTTGATGAAATAATACATTTTGTTTGATCCAAAAAAAGAAATACAAAGGAGGATGTTTGTAACAACCAAATGTTATTGTAGCAGGGTTCGTTATAGCGACATTCTACCCTCGTTATGTCTTTCATTTACTCAAGACTTGTAGACAAGGTACTATCGCTTGATATGGACCAACCTCCAACAAAGCTACTTTTGAGATGTCTTGTATCAGTACAGTGTTTGCGATGTGAAAAAGAAAAATTGCCTGCTAGATGTAAAAGCTTACAGGGATAATAGCATGATTTTTCTTGGATGTGTGTGTGTTTTTTTTTCAGGGCTACCCAAACATTTGTGCGAGAAGTGGCAAGCGGGTCTATCTTCTTACTCGGGATGGACGTTGTGGCCGACCCAGTAAGTAAAAACTTCTATTATACAAGAAATAAGATATTTAATGTGAGGTGGTAAATGAATGTTTTTTTTGGGCAGGAAACCAGTGCCGTATTAATTTAGAATTTTTGTTGTTGTTATACTGGAAATATGCATTCTTGGTATTCTTGGTAAAACTGCAACAACTTTGTTCTGTGAAAAAAATAGAAGTGTTTTAAAATACAGTGTGTCTGATATATTACATATTCATTGTGTGTCGGCCATTTTGAAAACATTTAAGAAGACCGTTCGTCTTTGTCGCTCGTGTCCACTAAAGTTAGTGGCAAACAGTCGGTCACATTTGCACTTGGAAGTAAGTGTAAGTTGTAAGTGGAAGACACCCCAGATGTGTCCTGTGTTGTCTTTCATGCGTAGTCTATGCAGCTAAGGCCAAGTTCGGGCAAGGACCATTAGTCGACTAGTGGTTGATTTGTGACGTACCTTACGCCTGCGCACTAATAGCAACGTGCGAACGTCTCTAGTCAAACGCTGGTATGTCATCGCAAAACTTCTGGATCCTGGCTCCCTGCTAGCGTTAGGAATGCGCGCGGCTATTGGTTACCAGCGAAGCAACCAACCCCAGTAGGCTGGTTCCAAATAGTCGACTAGCGTAGTCAACCACCGTCGACTAGACAGAGTTCGGGCAAATGTTAGTTAACCATTGGTCAACTATAGTCCTTGCGCAAACTTGGCCTAAATATATAAATTTCTTTTGGGTGAAATTCTGACTTTCTATTATATTTTTCTTGCAGGATATTGTGAACAAGCTTCTCATGATATTCTTTGATGAAGAACCAGTAAGTTTTAACATGCACTGAGAACACTAACACTGTGAAATTTGATTATTTCAACGTTAATTTTTCTTACTGTTATTTTCAATTTATTTTTGAGCCATAGGTATTTTAAACAATACCTCTATGCTACCACAGAGGTATTTCTGTGATTTATTGAACGACTGTATTGTATGAATACAACACAAATTAAGTAATAAAAACCACAAAATACAGTTCTTTTTTAACATTTTGTTTCATTTTCCTGTGCAGTTCCCACCGGCAACAGATCCTCCATCTGAGAAAGTGGTTCTGTTGGAATCCTTCAGTAACATCCATCCCGTCAACAAGTCTAGCGTAAGTCTTGATATCTCTCATCGGGCCCAAGAAAAGTGGTTGTGCTGCCCTCGCATGAAAAATATCAGTAGTGTTGGTCGGTCAACCGTTTCTTTTCTGTTTTTGGTGGGTATACATAGTTCACATCATAGCCTCTGGCCTCATGGTTAAGGGCACTGAATTCGTGGTCTGTGGGTAAAGCTGCAGGTTTTGGGTTCGAGTCCAGCCCAGGGTCATGGTGTGTGTGCCCTTGGGCAAGGCACTTTGTCACTCATTGCCTCTCTCCACCCAGGAGTAGATGGGTACCTGTGAGGGCAGAGATGGTTATTGTGATTGAATTAGCTTCCTTGTGCCTAACAGGCTGCATCGTGCTGTATACTCCCCAGGGAGCTGAGTTGGTATTTGGAATGTTTAATTGGCCCAATGATCAGGGTTAATAATAACGTAAAGCGCTTTGATCGTAGTTAAAAGCGCTATTATAAGAACCTGTTATTTTTTTGTTACCAGTTCCCCTCTACCAACATACACAAAACGTTTAGGCTACATGTACTGCACATGCCAACTATGTGTGCAAAAACTGTGCATGCATATACATGCATGTGATACAATGTACAGCGCATGTACATGCAGTACATCACACCACATTCCCCAAGCCTCAGCCTCAGTTACACATACACAATATGGCATTTTCAAACTGTACTACCATTTAGGTATGCACGGTTTGTGACAGAATGCAAAATTGTGGCATTACAGAGAAACAGGAATGGTAAGATTAAATTTAATTAAATTTTTTTTCCAGTGAAAAAATAATACATCCGTTGGGAGATTTCCAGATTTTTGGATCAGTTGGATGAATGATGATGTTTTAGGAATAAAGTTTTTCAAGTTTTGAAATTTGTCATTTTTTTTTTATCTGTATATAGGCTCTGCAGTATGAGATGTCTGAGATCTTGGGGACCCACTCTCTCCTCTTCCCATTCCTTCAGTACATGAAACGAGATGGGGCTCTAAACATCTTACAGTTCTGCCTGACAGTGGGTACGTGACTGGGCTCCATGACACTGAGTTGCTAAGCAGATTCATGTTCTAAACAAAATTGAGTAGGGAACCAGTTACAAAGTAATATATCACATGAGATTTCGGCTGGTAACCTTTACTGTTTATTAAAGATACTGTTTTCTGTAGGGAATAACCAGGCCCAATTCCTTGGCCCAGCTTACAGTTTACGAAAAATCCCTGCTTACTATAGCAGAAAATTTCGTGCTTATAGTAAGCATATTTCATGGGTTAGGGAGGAATTTTGGCTTCCGCGCATGCATACATGTACATCCGTAACTAAGGATTTGGTCCTTACTGGGTTAGCACAGAACTGTTAGCACATAATGGTGATCGTAAGCGCGTAATGCTGTGCTTAGCACTGAGCGCCGTGAAATTGGGCCCTGGTTTGAAGTTGAAGGGTTAGTTATTGGGTGCATTCGAGTAGCTCTCCTCTGGGGTCACAGTAAATGGGTTCAAATATGCACCGCTTCCTTTTTAGACCAACTATGAATATTTATCTTTTTACCCCACCACTTCATCATTTCTTTAAGTTGCACACAAAAACCTCTGTGTCATCCGTTTCGGTCGCTACCTGCAAAATAAACCACCGCTTTTTGAAAGATAATGTGATAATTTACATATTTGTACTTTGCAGAGGATTTTAACAGACGCAGCCTGGTGCCGGACATGACTGACGAACAGAAGAAGTCTCTGCACGGGGAAGCCCAGGATCTACACCTGCTGTATTTTGCCCCCGGTGCCGTGGACAAGATCAAGTTTGACGAGGACATTGAGGCAGAGATGCAAGAGAGTAAGACTGTGGCTATCGCTATGGCTATTGCTATGGCTATTCACAGCAGTGTAGTAATGACAAAAAGAGAGTAAGGCTGTGGCTATTGCTATGGCTATTGCTATGGCTATTGCTATGGCTATTCACAGCAGTGTAGTATTGACAAAAAGAGAGTAATGCTATGGATATTACTATGGCTATGCGCATTGGTGCTGTAATGGTAAGAACTGAAGCCGTAGCACAAAGCGCCCAATTCCGGTGTAGGAGAACATAAATGTTTCACAATAAAGAAAAGCTGTCTTTGTTTTTGGTGTGAATATTGATATTGACAAGGCATCATGCAGGGTTTTCAAAAATCATATGAACCATCTGCTCCATCCATTTCGAAGAAAAAATCTTTGCGATATATGGCCATATTTTTCCTCATTAGTACTATTAACCCTAACTCCCCAGCCTAATTTACTAGGAACCATACCCATTCTGGCAAATTCAAACAACCACATGGGAAATTGTACACACACACTGTTGGACTTAGTTTCTGGAGGTATGCCAACCCCAATGTAAAAGACCATCAGTTTAGGGGCACTGTACCTATCCCAACAAAACAAAACCTGCTGTTGAACTTTGATGGGCTGAGTTCGGTTAGGGTTAATATTATTTTTGTTGTATTTCAGTTGTTAATGGACCGTACGAAGGTGTAACAAGACTCCGGACCTCATCAACTTTGTTCAGGTAAAAATCTCAACATTTGTGAGGCGTTCTGGCAAAATGAGACAGAACTGGGCAGAGGTCGAGATGAATGTTTGCTGGTATTGGGAAAGAATAAAATTCTCCTTACAATACTGTTTGTTGCACTTCAATTGGACGTTCCGTTAACAAGTTATGGCTGTTTAAATTTGCATCTATTGACATGTCAAAAAAGTTGAATACTGAGAAAAAGGCCTTTAAAGTTTTGAGTTTTGTTGTGAAAATGAATGATGCCAACTGTTTTCCTTTAAACCACTTTTATTTCACGATGTTTATTCTAGCAAAAGGCCTTTAAAGTTTCGAGTTTTGTTGTGAAAATGAAAGATGCCAACTGTTTTTCCTTTAAACCACTTTTATTTCATGATGTTTATTCTACTTCTGTATAATATGTATAGTAGACATAACAAAGTATAAATCTGAAATCACCAACATTCAGTTTTGTTTGGTAAATTTCTCCACTGTGGCCTTTGCCCAGTTCCGTCTCATTTTGCCAAAACACCTCACATTTGTGAGATTTTAACTAACAGTATGAAACACGATAGAGTTCAACATACAAGTCATTGGTTATTGGTTTGACTACGATTCCTTCTTTTTTCCGGACAGAGCCTACGAGCATGCCTACAAGTTGATGGAGAATGTCTTCTGTCCACTTTTTCACCACAGCGATGAGGTAATTTGCTTGAATTCCTAATAACGAAACCAAGAATTCTTCAAAACCACTCACGGCACTGTAGCTCGCAAACCCAACACACGCACATTACATTTGTCAAGGATTTGTAATACAAACATGCTGTTGCTTGTATTATTATTAGCACCGTACTACATCGCTTTACAATGTAAATATTGTCTGAAGAATCTATAAAAAACATACAGTTTGGGGCAGCACAGGGAGTAAAAGGCAAAGCGGTTTGGGGGCACTTCATGGACTACAGGGTGAGCAAAAAAAAAATGAAACCAAAATTGCGAGACCATTGTTTTAGTGAAGTTCTGCATGTAGCACTTTCAAAATCTAGGATATGAAAGCTCAATTCATAAGCTTTCTTTTAGTACAAGAATCATTCAAATCACTCATGTACTTGTAAAGTTACAGAGTTTTTAACACAACCGCCGTTTTAAGGTTCTGTCCACGGATCACAAAAAGTTCACAGTGTTCTTTCAGCAAAACGAAAACATCACTTTTTGTCCACATTACTTTTTGATTATAATTTTTAAGTGTTAAATTTTGTTGTTGTATAATTGTCTTCAAATCTTGTCGAGTATTGCCAAGATGGGAAAGCTACAGCGTATATAAGAACAGTTATAATAACAACCGAAAATATTAGCCTTAAGGAGACATTCCCATAGACTTGCGCACACATTTTTTTCCCGACCTTCCTGGCCCCAAACCCCAAGTTTCCCTTATCCTACCCCCACAAATGTTGGTATTTTTTACTAACTGGACCACGAGCAATCGGTCTAGCCTGTTTGGGACCGTAAAATTTTGCCTCTAAATAGGAGCTGAGGCATTAGGGAGACATTGAAATGTCTCCCTAATGCCACATGTCTCCCAAAGGTATAACTTCTGATGCTAAGGTGCCTCCCAAATGGTACTATTTACGATAGCATTCTCATTACCATTATTTTAATTATATTGATAATCGTTTCTAAATTTTGCTCAGTATTTCACCCTGATGTGCGGCAAAAGACGGCAAGTCCTTCCCAAGCAGGCAACAAGGTAAGCACACCATGCAGTTTAATAATGCGTCAGCAAAGGTATTAAAAAAGAAGTCAAGTACTTAGTTGAAATACTTCAGTTTTTTGTATTTATTATGGTTTAATTCATTTCAATTTGTCCATTTTTACACCATGAATACATTCTCCATGGATAAATTCACCGTCAGTTCCATGTGATAAACACATTTTTTGCACTTACGCACTTTTAAGGTATTGTATTAGAACGTACTACGTTTGGACCCTATGTTCAAGAGTTTAAAACTGACTTGATGCTTAGCACATACCTCATGGTGCAAGGGAGTTTTGTTCAGTAAAAGCCTTTTATTCCTTTTCTGGTGTCATGAACACACACACAGGTAGCCTTGTTCAGGGCATTCGACGATAGCATACGATGATCTATTATCGGCCGCTAAAATAAACAGTAGCCACACGCTTTGCTACTGTACGAAGTGTGAACAGCCACCTCACGCGGCTAGGCTACAATATGCAAATCTGTTGGTGCTGAACGAACACCTTGGAACAACCCTTCACCTTGCTTATGTTTTTCTTTATTTTATCGCTGGATTACCAGCAACCGCTATCGATCATCAGACCCTATCGCCGAACGCCTTGTCACTTAGGCTGATATTTTAACTACAATATATGACATATTAGTCTAGGTTAAAACATTAAAGAGAGTGTGGTTCTTACACATGTAAATGGGAATTGGAAAATAAAGTTGGTTTTACAGATTTCCAGCAAACAACATTGTTGAAATATTTGCAAGACATCCCAAGTTTGTTTTTGATTTTTTTTTTTGGTATGAACTATATTTTCTTAAATTTGCAGCCGCACCATGTGCCTGGGCTGATAACATTGGGCCCAAAAATGTCCTCTTTTGATCACTTGAAATGATATCAAATTATGTATCTAGAAGCCGGCCTCAGGTCGACCCACGATTTGCTTGTGCCACGACGGAACCATTGGCATCAAGCAGAAAATTAATGCTCTGGTCACAAAACTGAGAAATCTTGTGATTCTCGTGGAACAGGCAGCATCTCAACACAAAATAATCACAACCATCCTCATGTCACCCACGACGCGACGACGATTCCACTTCATAGACAGTCATGTGACTTCTTTAACAATAGGGTGTTGATACAATCAAATGTCATCCACGACCACACCAGCTGTTTATTCAGCCATTTCCGCCACACACTGATTGGCTATACGACTGCGATGATTCCCGCTTGTCGGGACATGTCGCAGAAGTTGAAATTCTTCTACTGTTGCGACTGTTGATTTTTTTAAAGCGCCGACTGATACCTCAGTTACACTCAGGTTGCAAAAAACGGGCGACTGGTTTGTTCCCGACGATCATAGCTCAGGCACAGCTTGATACTGAAAAGTCAGTCGCCAACTGTTCTGTGTCACCGCATTGTCGACCTGAGGGTACCTTTACCCTTTGGGAATTCATGAAAATAATTGTGGCTTTACCTTCAAATGCATGGGTGAATACTCTATCAATAGCTTTGTTTTTAGGATAAAGCCAGTTACATAATAGTCATTTACATCTCAGATACAACATTTTATGCAGATTTATCGTGATCAATATTGAAGATGGTTAGCTCTTTGCATTATGGCCATTACGGTTTAATGTTTTACCTCTGTGGTAATTAAGGATGTGACTTTGCGTTTAATGGTCAGAAAAAACAATAGTGTGACGCCACAGGAGTTTGTTAGTTGGTTTTAAATCTGGCTTGGTTTTTCAGTCTCAGACCTAGTTAAATGTACAGTTTGGTTTCTCTTTTGAAGTTGAACCACTAAGTGTTAAGATTGCTTCCTAATTGGTACTTGGTGCATGTTTGGGAGGTACATGTTCTGGAGTGCCACTCATGATGAGGATTAGTTCATTGGGTAAGTTTAAGCGGATCTCACAACTTTCACATCATCAGAATCTTCAACTCAAGACATTTGGAGCTCAAAGCGCTTGTGAAGCATTCTTCACGGCATTCTTCACTTGAATCTGCATGATTTGGAAATTGCACAGAGCCTCGGACGTCGTAATGCATTTACAATTTTTGCTGCTGTGGTTCGCATGCTGTCTCAAGAAACATTTCAATGGGAGTGGCCACTGTACACAAACACACCAGGGTTTTATGGTGAAGTTGGAATTAATACTCTAACCCTGCTTTGACTTTGTATGATTTGTTTTCTGCGAACCCTTGCTTTTTTAACGCTACTTACTCACTGAGAAGCCCTGATCAGGAGCTTCCATCTCCTGTCCCGCCTCCTGTGCTGATCCCTCAGCCTGCCACGCCTCCTCCACAGCGGGCTGTCAACTCAATCAAGTAGGCCACGCCCACTTTTCTTTGTTCATACATGAATATTAAAATCTGGGATCGGACGAATACATAGGTGCATGTTTGTGTTCAGAATTGTGTAGACTAACCAAAGGAAGAGATTTTACTTTACTCCCTATGCATATTCATGAACTCCGCCTGACACGCCTCCCATACAGTGGGCTGTCAACTCAGACAAGTAGGCCACGCCCACTTTTTGTAATACGACAAAACCTGGAAATGGTAGGATGTGTTGATATAGATTTGCATGCTTGCATACAGTATGTTAGACAAAACTATGATGCATATTCATACAAGTTAATCAAAATATGCATGAATCTTTGCGGGCAGTCATCTTGCTATATGGAAGAGATGGCATCTCATTTTTCCCCCCAACAAATACAAAAAATGAGAAAGTGTCTTTTTATGGCTATTATTAAAGCCAAACAAACATAATGTGATAGTTTAGTCATTGTAAAAAATACTGTTTATAGTTCGAGAAAATAATTATTGTAATCTCCTGATTGTTTTGCATGGCACTTTTATGTACCAGTGTTGTTGATTGCAAGGTTGTATTTGTGTATGACATGAAACCCCTTTCCTTGCCTACAGATCTTTTGTACTACATGTATGTACAACATTGGTAAACCCTTGCCTGTGTGTCATTGGTTGACTAATGTTTTGAGAACGATTATTGGTGTTAATAGTGGTATTAAAATTTGCAATGAGGAGAATAGTTTTGTGTTCCTGTGGATGATAGAATGTCAACCCTAAATGGTACGAGTGTCCCCCAAAAATGTATGTGTTAGTTAAAGGTATACAACATTTGCAAACATCAAAAATCTAAACTACCAAATTATTATGAAATTCCTTACTTGACTGTAAGTGAATGAAAGTCTCAAGCATCCTGTAAAATCATGGCACCTGCTGTTCTGTCATGTTCAAGAAAGAACATTTTTGTGTCAATTTCCAAGGATGGTTGGCCGACCATCGTTTTTTGGAGAAAAAAAACTGACTTTTTTCAAATACTGCCCCCAATTTATCAAATGTAGTTAGTCCACATTTTGTTTACAAACAGTTACACATCCTTGAACGGTTGCAAGCCAGCTAGTCTGGTTCCCTGACCAGACAATTCCCCGACTTCTATAAATTGTTCCGTTTCGTCTGAAGTAGGGTCAGGGAACCAGACTACCAAGAGCAGAATTTTGTTCTTGGTTTTTCCCCAGCATCTATGAACACAAAACTTTAATTAGTTTAAACAGGTCAGGGTTACAATATTTTATATAAAGTACTTACCCCCAAATCCATCCATTTCTGAAAATTACAGCAAAAACAAAGGTTGTGTATTACTTTTATGCATGTTTGTGATTGTGTGTTTTTGTGGTCGCTATAGTGTCTTGGATGTTGTAGATTTTTGTCATGCACTGTTTATGAAGTACATAAGTGCTAGTAAGGGATAGGCCACAATCATCCCCCCCCCCCCTTTGTGTAAACAACAATTCCTGAGTTTTTGTTTAAGCCTTAATTTCTCTGATAATTGGCATAACATGTCCTCAAAGTTGTCTGTGTGAAATTTTACTCTGGCCATACGTGTACCGATCATTTATACAGGGTGTATCAAAAAAAAAAATGTTGATCCAAAAATAATGGCTTAGTATGTGAAGCTGATGAACTTGACCTCTGTCAGAGTGGCTTCATCTTATAAAGGGTAGTTTGTCAGCTTTCCTTTGATACCGTATTTGCATCTTTGTAATATTCAACAATTTTAAGTTTTCGATGAAGTGCATGGAATTAATGTATGTATTTGGTATTGTTGTAGACAGGGTTATCATTGTAGAACTGGAAGAGTGCATTTTTAGAGACTATTTTCTACAAATGTCTTTTTATATGACTTACAATGAAAATTGTCGTGAAGATTGTATTCAGTAATTGTGAATTTGCATTGCTCATTTTATATGCATATGTTGACATATTTCTGCAGGGGTTTGGGGAATATAGCACTAAAAATATTGAAAAAAACCACAGATTTTAAAATTTGTCTCAGTTATAATGGCATTTTCTCCTGATTGCTCAGAATTTTGTGAAATTTCTAATGAAAATTTTGTTCAAAAAATATTTAAAACTTTACCATTGTTTCAAAGATAAGTTTAACCCATTTTTTTCTGTTAAAACCCCTGCCTAGAAAGTATTATGAAATTATTGTTAGATATCAAATTGTTATTGCTAGATATCATTCAGTTGAGGGGAGCATTCTCTGTCAAGTTCTCAGAATCAGCTTCAACTGAGTTTGAAAATCTGTTTTAAGTCTTAATTTGTACCTGAAATGAAAACGGGGGCTTGACTGTTTTTTTTCATTTTTCAATGTTTTCATTTCTAAAAAGGGTTGTCACCAAGCGTTCTAGTGATCCCATTGCGGCTATGCACAGACTGGGCAGCAGGATTAAAGGAGTATTCCGCAGCTCAAATGGTACATGACAAAGATTCAGTGACCTATCTGGATGTAAATGTGAAACTGACCTTCCCCTAACCCTCCTGGTATCTAAACAGTCACAGACAGTCAAAAAAATCAATCTCCTCACCTGCCATGCCTTCTACACAGGCTAGTCACCAACAGTCAGATCTTATTTCAAGCAGGCACTGTGACTAGTCAAATTCAGTCAACAGACAAAAGCAGGCAAGTGGTAGGCACAGCTGGCTAATCAATCTCCTACAGTCACAGCATAGCTGTGTCAAGTTACATCAACAGTCACAGCCAGCCGATCCTGCTTTATGTAGGTTATTAACTGTTAAAACCAGTCACTTGATTGATGTTATCTGAAAGGACAACTTTGCACTGAATATAACTGAAAGTTTGTAATACCTCACAAAATAAGTTTCAAAAGTTTTAATTTAACTTTAATAATAATAATAATACTGAACATTTATATAGCGCTCTAACTGTCATAGAAAGTACCACAGCGCTTTACACAAAAATTGACGAAAATCCAAAAAAACAAACAAACAAAAAAAAACACACCAGAAAACAGAACAAGAAATAAACCACATTCAAACTTTCAGTTATAGTTTGTTTTTCCATCATAATCAAACGTTTTTTGAAAATATAAATAAATCTATTACAACGTCTTTCTTTAACCAAGCACTCATTTGTGATAGTAGGTGCATGTGACTAATTTTATTTAAAAAAATCGCTGAATTTATAAACTCTAATAGTGTTCCTTATTTTCTTCTTTTTGAAGCCGACAGTGATACTGCCAGTATGTCTTCGTTGGACATCGCTGAATCGGAATCCAGCCAACCCCCAGTAAGTCAATCCACAACCGAGTTGGAATACATAAAAAAACAAAGATGAGAATACACTTTTGATTTATCTCTAAAATGTCTGTGAAATGTCTGTGATATGAATATTTTGAAGTGTACTTTGAAAAGGAACATGCGCCTAACACACTTGATGATTTGGGCACAAAACAAAATCACCCAAGAAAATAGGCCCCAAAATGACCAATACAGTGATATGTTGCTTCAATCAGGATTGAATGTTTTGGCTATTTCTAAGAAAATGGTCCTCAATATCTTTTAACTTTAATACGTGCATCCCCCCCCCCCCCCCCCCCCCCCCCCAAAAAAAAACCCATCTGAATGAACACTACTTGAACCCCATTATATATATATAACAAAAATAACTGTTTATAGGAGACAACACTTTTTAAAACTGGATACTTGAAATAGACATTATTGCAAACATTTTTACATGTTTTGAGGTATGAAACAAAGGAAGTCACCTTTGAACCGTGACCTTTCTCAAACAGTCTGACACAGAACTCCTCTCCGATGAGGAGGAGGCTGGTATGAAGTCGCCAATCCACGACATGAGCGCGTGGAGGGTCAGCATCCCACGGATAGATGCCAGGCTGGACGGCACCAAGGATTACTGTGTGTACGTCATCGACGTGCAGCGGATTGACGTCAAGGAAGGGGGAGGCGAGGAAACATCCTGGGAAGTGGAAAGGTGAGTGTGATAGAACTGTAGGGGGCGCTGTTTGCGACCTACGATCCAGAGCCAAGCTGGAGCATTTTGACGAAGTGTGCTTAATACCAGTGTGCTTACTAGTAATTGAATGCTGCATGTTAAATTAAAAGGTCCATGAAATGAATTTTCTTATGAACACAGTTTGTGCAACTTTGAACTCCTCTTCAATGTTTGAAAACAAATGGGCCTTATTCACGAGTCGGCCATATTGGATTGAGAGTGAGGTTAAAATCTTGATTTTTGAACTTGTGTAGAGAAATGAAACCAAGTTAATTTCTAATTAATTCCAGTCTGCTTCAATGAATAATTTAAAATTTGTAATTAAACATTCCCTAATGTTTAAAGCCAGATTTAAAATAAAAATTGTACCTGCATAAATAGTCTGGCGCCATCCCATTCAACAGTTAACAGTTAATGAAATGCATTCAGGGAACTAGACAAAAATGGCCACCTCGTGAATAAGGCCCATTAACATGTCCCTTTTTGGTTTATTTTATAGACAAGCTAGTGCACTTCTCTAAACATTTAAAAACGTCCACATAACCATCTTTTAAAAGCTGGGCGTTTTCTGTGTTATTCTTGCGAGAATTTCGACTCTCAAAAATCAGACTAATGGGTGCTAGTCGTGAATCCTGCCGCACATGTTCCACTCGTGCATCGCATTTTGCGGATGTGCCAGAAGCAACATTTGTGTATTGTTGCTGTGTGAATAACGTGACACATACACAACGTGTACCGTACCGTACAGTGAATTGACACGGCTGGAAATGTACATGTGTATGCCTCGAAATGTCCGCCGCGTCCGATGTAAACAACGGGGTTTTGTCATCCTATCTCGGGAACTGTAAGACGTTAGGTTAGTTTCCTTTCAACCAGACCTGTAGAATAAGTAAACAATCTAAAAGATAAATTTTTTTGGGGATTTCAGGCCGTAATCTCCCTTTAAGACTGACGAGAATCAAGTGAGGGTATGTTGTTCTCTAGTCTTAGTATATTTGCGCAGTGTTGCGCATGCCGATCTCAAATGGTATCACAACAGGGCACAACTGATTGCCAAAGCAATAAGCATAAAAGCTTGTATTTGTATGTAGTAAATTTGTATGCATTCTGTTGGACACTGTGGCTTACTTACCATTTACAGCACTGAATTGTTCTCATTTTATTTTTTTTTTTTTTTTCAGGCGCTACCACGAGTTTCATGTCTTGGAGACTAAACTCAAAGAATTCCATGGTAAAAGACTTCTTTACACATAGAAGTACTTCCAACCGTTCTCCACTCATCCTCTAGGGGTTTAGTAGATGCTGATCAGTGGCCTAAATTCTTGTGTACTAAAGTTTTCGAGTTTGAAATTGTAGTTTCAAAATGCTCATATTTTAACCAGGATTAATTTCTTGGGCTGAAATTCGGACTTAATATCCCTTACATAAAATACTTCAATTTGCGACATATCAACACACCTTAGAAATTCCTAGTTTTTGAGTAAAATCCATATATCTATTTCGTGATAACCTTGTGGAAACGTATTCACCTATAGAAATTGCCCTGTGGAGACGTATTCAATCTTTTGTTACCTATTGTGCACATGTCTCCAGAGAGTACCATGTAAAGGATCACTGGGACTCGCAGAGGAATTTATGCATGTTTGACCATCACAAATACTCAAATACTTTCGGTTCTGGCAGTAGTGATAATTCGTCTGTTGAATTAATAAAATCATCAGGTATATTCGAGGATGCCCAGTTGCCCCAGCGAAGAATACAGTTTGCCTCAATCTCCCTCGATTTCATGGAGAAAAGAAAAGACAGCTGCGAAAAATTCCTCCAGGTGAGAATCCAGGGTCTCCACAAACTGCTATTGTGGATCCTGAGCACTCGTGCCTGTGACAAGCTACTCAAGATGCTCGAGTCTTGTGACAGTTACTCACTGTGACACCAGTTTCACTATCAGACATTTTGTGAGCACCAACGAAGATCTTAGACTCCAATGCTGTGATGGAGAATTTACAAAGCAGCTGGTTTTAAAAAAAAATGAACAGTGTCACACAGGTCACTTTTTTGGTAGCTCACCCGGAAACTTCAGCTGCTTTATAAGTTGTAACCCTCATAAGCAAAAATGCATTCTGTGCAAAGTTGTCCTTTCAATCAAAATCCATCAAGTGACTGTTTTTAACAGTTAAGGGCTTCCAGCCTACATAAAGCAGGATTGACTGGCTGTGACTGTATGTGTAACTCAATACAGCTATGTTTTGACTGAAGGCGATTGATAAGACAGCTGTATGTGCCTACCAGTTGCTTGCTTTTTTTTCCGTTGACTGAATTTGACTAGTCGCAGTGCTTGCTTGAAATATGATCTGACTGTTGGTGACTAGCCTGTGTAAAAGGCATGGCAAGGAAATAGGATTGGGTTTTTGACTGTCTGTAACTGTTCAGATAGCAGGAGGGTTAAAGCCTACAAGAAATTTTGCTTTATTTCTGAACCTAGGCTATTGATAGCATGCTTTTTGTTTGTTTGAGTAACTTTAGTAGATTGATGTGGTGTGATAACTAGGCAAACACTGTTATTGCAAAATCATCTGGCAACTTGGCGCATTTGTGAGGGCATGTTTTTTTGGGTATTTGAAGAAAACATAAGTGGTTTCTAGGAACTGATGAAAAACAAAACCTGTAATAGGTCTCTCTCAAAGGCGGCCATCTCTGTAGGAGAACTGCAACTGCATATTTTACGCAATCGAGCACACATTGAGCAGTGTTGAAAATGATTCAAACACGCGCACTTGTTGCTCGAAATGTGTTCGAAATACGATGCAGCCGATGCGCGTTATGCAAGTTGACGCTCAAAATGCCGATGCGCGTGGCTGGTCTGTAGGAAATGACGTCATTTGAGAGAGACCTATTTTAGGCCCAAGCTTGACTGGTATAATGTTTCAGCCCAGATGCTCTGAACTTTCGCCCATCATCGCAATCTTTGTCTGTTTCATGCTTGCAGACACTCTTGACTAAACCCACCTTACGAAGCAGCCAGCTCCTCTACAGCTTCCTGACCAAGAGTGAAGAGTTTGTCAACAAGTTCTTGGGAGATGTCAACCTGGGTATGATAAGGACTACAAATATAGGAATAAATGTACAATGGATTCAGTGAAGTACAAAAACCGCAGTCTTTCCTATGCAAATTGTTGTCCCATACAATTTTTGTTCTTATTGCATTTCTACAGGGAAGTTGGTCAGAACGATGTCTTACAGAGTTATCAAAGAGGTAAGAACATTATTGCTCTATCTTTTTCCTCCTTTGCAATGTGTTACATCTTTCCAATCTTTAATAGATACAAATTTAATGTATGATAATTTTCCAAACAAAATTATTTTTGACGCTGCTTGAGTTATTTTTTGTTTAATAATATGACGGCATATTTAGTTAAGTTTTAAAAATTTCTTTGTAGCGAGGGCAGCATCTGGATCCATTCCTGCAGTCGTTCATTGCCTCCGTCGAGGCACCAAAACCAAAGGCAGGGTAAGAAGATTCGAATCCTGTTCCCTCCCTCTTCGTAACATTTTGAAAACAAGTAGCATTTCCCATATGTTTCCAGCAGAACTGGACTTTCCTGAGTCAGTGTGCATGATGCTTGGCACGAGTTTCTGGACTTTTTGTAAACGCTGTATACTCATTGTTGTCCGAGGGCATGTGAGAAAAAAATTCACAAGCTTACTCGGGGGGACTCACACCCGCGACCTCCTGCTTACTAGTGCAGACATCTTACCATCAGCCACTGAGCTTGCCAGGGTCAGCTGGCTGGTTCGAGTCTGATGTAGTCTTCGTCCGAGCCTGGATTTGGATTTTATTCCCCTTATGTAGTCGGTCTGTGACAAGCGAAGTCGCTATCAACAAGATGAATAAACTCCAGTCTTGGCAATATTGGCAGCGCTACCCAGGGAATTCCAAGCATACTTCATACATGCGCGTTATATTCAAGCTAATGCATGCGCGTGAGGTATGCTCAAATGTTCTTGGGTAGCACTGCCAATATTGCCAAGAACTGGTTTGATTGAAATTGTTGATAGAGACGCGGCAACTTAAAACCGCGTTTGTCGTGAGACTAACTGCAAAATAGGGAAATAAAAGTGCAGTCTTGGATCAAGACTAAGTCTGATGAAGCAGTGGGTACCGCAACCAAACTTTTTATGAGATGGAATTTGTGTTGGGGAGATGTAAATTTTATATACTGGGTTTGTGCCCTTCGCTGACGTATTTTATAAACAATGTGTACTCAGTTCTTTTTAGGCTTGTTATTTTACATGCTTAATAAATAAATAAAATAAATTAATGCTAAGACCATCTTGTAATACAACCCCATAGATGCACATGATGAGGTGCATGTATGCATGTCCAAGTTTGAATAGTATTGATGGAGTTGCCGTGATTTATGCGTAAACATTTCATCAGTGTTGAACTTTTTTTCTCAGAAAAATGGCAGAAACAGTTGACCCAGCCAAGCACCTTGCTGAAAAGGTTGGATTTTCCCTAATATTTTTTACATAAATACAACTTTATTTGGTTTGTAATGTTTTATGTTTGTACATTTCAAATTTTTGTGTTTTACCAGTATAAAATATAAAATATATTAATATATTACCAAAATATTTTAATCTTGTTTTTTTTGTTTCATTATACCAACCCATAGAACATCTAGTGCCCCAAGCTACCTAGCCTGTTACTCCCTGCACCGCCCTAAACCTGTTCCACCCCAAACCTGTACCGCCCCAAACCTGTACCGCCCCAAACCTGTACCGCCCCAAAACTGTGCCGCCCCAAACCTGTACCGCCCCAAACCTGTACCGCCCCAAACCTGTGCCGCCCCAAACCTGTGCCGCCCCAAACCTGTGCCGTCCCAAACCTGTGCCGCCCCAAACCTGTGCCGCCCCAAACCTGTACCGCCCCAAACCAGTACTGCCCCAAACCTGTACCGCCCCAAACCTGTACCGCCCCAAACCTGTACCGCCCCAAACCTGTACCGCCCCAAACCTGTACCGCCCAAACCTGTACCGCCCCAAACCTGTACCGCCCCAAACCTGTACCGCCCCAAACCTGTACCGCCCAAAAACCTGTACCGCCCAAAAACCTGTAAGCCTCAGTATACATTTTAGAAAAACAGTTGTGAAGAATGCCGTCACTCTATCATTCTTGACTGTTTCTGATCACAGCTGGACAGTCCCATATTTGGTGATAATGCCGGTCTGCCCTTGGTACGAGAAACGCTCAAAGAACCCGGCCCGGATCCCTCGGCAGACTACCTACAACTCAACGGGATATTTGACTACATTCTCTACCTTGGTGAGTCAGTGTCAGCAAAGAATCAACTTGATTTGAGACAAAATTGAGCCAGTTTTCGGGCGAGGATCATCGGGCAGCACGTGGTTGATTTGCGCCCATGCATTAACCCTAACTCCCTAGGCCTTTTTGCTAGGATGTAGCCTCAATCCTGCGAAATCATCCAATTGGCCTCATGGAAAAATAGCATATAGTCTCAATCCTGCAAAATCCTCCGCTATTTCTTGAGTATGGTCCGTGGAGGGGTGACAACTGTCTGAATCCTGCAAAATCCTGCGGCAGTGACTGTCAGTATGTTGGGGCTTGGCCAGTGACATCCTGGAGCAGTACGGAGGATTTCAAGCATAATCCATGCCCGGTATATTTATGCATGGCTGACCAAAAACAACACAAGGTCCGGCCAAAAACCTTGACAAAGTGCATCCTACAAAATCAGTAACGCACTTTTGCCATGTAACCTCAATCCTCCAAATTCCTCCACTTTGGCAAAGAGGATTTTGAAGGATTCAGGGTGGTTAGGGCTAAATAGCAGCTTGCGAATGCCTCCTGTAAAACGCTGGTCAATCCTGGCTCCCTGCTTGATCCTGGCTCCCTGCTGTGCATTATGATGTGCACGGCTATTGGTAACCAGCTATGGAACTCTGCCCTGGGCTCTGGTCGAACTATGGTTAACTATAGTCCTCGCTTGCACTTGTCTTTGCTGTCATATTGGTACAGATTTACATGTACATAAATATTGAATAGTTGTAGCTGAGCCCTCACAATTCATGCCACGTTACATATAAGCACAAGCCAATGACATGGCAATCACAAATCATCCACTTTCAAGTCAATTAACAAGCAATTCAAATATGGGAAGCATTCTGGCAAAATGAGATGGAACTGGGCACAGGCTGAGGTGGAGAAAAATAGGGCGGGGAAGGAACTGGTGTGATATGTCTACTACAGAGACTTTTAAGAAATAGTATGAAAATTGTGAAAGAAAAGTGTTCGTAAGGAAAAACAATTACTCTTTGTTACTTCCTCAGCCACTGCCGTATTCAACGTTGCTCCATGGATGCACCAGGGGCTGATAGTCTTCCAGAAACTCTTCAAGAACTCACTGGAGACATTCCTTGACAGGTACCTCAGACTACGCAATCACTACCTGAACAGTACATGGCACTTTGTGGTCGCTTTAGAAATTTCCAGTGGGAGGAACACACCGAATGCACATACTGTTTCACGCATGTATTGCTCCAAGTAGACACAAACTCGTTTCACGCTGAATGTACACAACCTGTGGCATCAGGCATCATTGGAAACACGTTTGAACGTTCCTCCTAGTCTTCCCAAACTGTCTCTTTATAACTGTTAAAGGGTTGCTTTGTGAATGAAGTCCGTAACTAAGCACATGTACATTAGGGCTGTCCCAAATACATGTATACCGAATATTTCGATCATCAACTGAATATTCCAAAACAATTAAAACAACTATGCACATACACACACATTTGCTATGTTATTTTATCGTAAAGTTGGTCACTTTATTGTCAGGCGGTTCATTTTCCCATCCCTTTAGAAGGATAAAGCCCTTGACATTTATAAAATACTGACTTGTAAAAAACTCAAGCTGCCCATATTGATCACTACATGCAAATTTTAACTGGCGCGTTCTGCACACAAATATTCACGCAGTTGCGGTAGGCAGTTTTGAATATCCAAATATTTAATTGAATACTAAATTGTTCAAAAATGGGCAGTCATACTCTACATTTTGCCAGATGCTAAAGAGGTAAAGTATTGTCAGAGAGTTCACTCAATACTATAAAGATAAGAAACTATAAGCTGGAGAAAAGCTGGAAGATAGTAACCAAGTAATCATCTCGCAGTGTTTAACCCTCCCCCCCCCCAAAAAAAATGGGGGATTACATCTTTAATTTTTTTTCATTTCAGCTATCTGGCCAAGAAATTGGAGATTGTGCAGTCAGAGGAACAAGTGGAAGACATCATTCATAATCTGAGAGGTAACTGGCACCATTTTAACATGTCTAGGATTGGATTGAACTTGCCGGCCTCTATTCATTTTTTGAAACAAGTAGTAATTTAGGCAGTTAGTCCATAAGTATACTGAAACATAAAGTGGTATTGTAGAAACCATCCCTGTTCACATAAGGTACCAAACATAAAGCATTTAGAAGCCTTGTTAATGAACGTCATTGACGTGATACATTCGCATTAGTGTGCAGGAATATCCAAAAAATTGTGAAAACAAATTATCACAAATCAACCACTCATCAGTTAATAATCCTCGAACGAACTTGCATATAAATTGTGTTGTAAAGAAAGATAAATGTTTTGTCTCGTTTGAATCCAGATGTTCTTTTCTTTGATGATGAGCCTCCAAGAACAGATGCCCAGAAGCAGCAGCGCAAGGAGGAAACATTCCAGCAGATGCTCGACTTCTTCCCAAGTATGTCTCTCTTTACCCCTTCTTCTAACTCCCCTACTTCTAAACTCAATTCATAAATACCTAAGACAGTTTATCCATTCCTATTGGTCGAGAGCCCATCACATGGGTGGTTATGAAATAGTTGATAAAACACCAGCTGGCTGGTTTTAAACATTTTTCCGGTGTCACCTGAAATTTGGACTCCTATGAAATCTGGTCCCTTTTACCCTTAATGGGCCTTATTTACGAGTTGGCCATTTTTGTCGAGTACCCTGAACGTATTTCATTAATTGTTAACCGTTGAATGGGATGGCGCCAGACTATTTATGAAGGCACAATGCAGCCTTATTTTACTGTCATTTTTTTTTTTTAATATGGCTTTAAACATTAGGGAATGTTTAATTACAAATTTTAAATTATTCATTGAAGCAGACTGGAATTTATTATAAATTAAGTTGCTCTCATTTGTCTTCGCAAGTTCTAAAATTTAAGATTTTACTTAACTTTCAATTCAATATGGCGGACTCATGAATAAGACCCATTGGTTGAACAATCCCAATCTTCATGCGCAATACTACCAATGAGTCCGTAACTCTGGCTCTGCCGCGTTCTGCGCCATACCGTGCAGTACGTGCCACGCGGGCCAATCTCCATATAAGCAGATTTTTTAGTACTACTCGCGAGAGGCACATACCATAACATAGCTTGAAGGGTGTCTAAAAAAACATGAATTCAATTGTTCAACAAAATTATTTGAAATTTATAAGTTTTGACTTAATTGGCTTTTTTACCCAAAGGTATTCATGAATGGGAATAAATATGTGCTTGGCCAGTATTAAACAAGTACGTTTAAAAGCAGCTTGGGGCCTAGTCACTGATAATATGTCCCTCGCCTTCAGCTGAGGCCATTATCCACATTCAGGCCCCAAGCCGGTGATAAACGTACTTGTTTAAAACTGGCCAAGTACATATTAAGGCCAAAAAAAATAGTTGTGCTTCCAATTACATGGCATTCGAAAATAGGGTAGGTAAGTAGTGAATTTTTTTTTTTTGGCCAATTTTTTTTGTGTATGATCATATGGAGGCGTCTGCGTGCAGTCAAGGGTAAAAGGTGAAAATTGATGGTTTGGGGTGTTTTTTCTCATTTTTCCCATAAAAGAATTAGGGTGGGGGCTCTCAGAATAGGGTAGGTAGGGAAACCGGAAGCAGAACTATTATTTTTTTTGGCCTTATTCCGTTATTAAAAATGGAAAGAATGTTGCAACCTTACGCCACTGTTTTCCTCATACATCATCTCAATGAAGGTCAGTCATTGCAAAAATGTTGAAAAGACATGAATCTGCGACAGAGAAATTTTTCTAATTTTGTCAGGAAATTTAATTCTTGACTTGATTTGAAATTTTCTGTACTCTCCATAGACTTTGTACACAACTGCTGAGGTGGCGTCTGGACACTACATTCTTTCCTCAAAAACTATTAATTGGTATGGCAGCCAGAAAGTCTAGGGTTCACGTCCTGTTTTTGTTCAAGTAGTCACTCGTATTTTTCTCTTCATTTACATAGAGCAACTGCATCAGGTGATTGGGGAGGACAAGTTTTGCGCCGGTCTGCGATTCGTCTTTGACGGCTTGCAGTATCCCAAACTCAACAAACAGGTCAGTGATTTTTCTTGTCATGCTATTTTTATCAAAGTGATTTCAGACTCCTGTTTCTACACAAAAGTAATTATTAATGGCAAAGTGCATCACATGCAGGATGAAATCATTTTTCCCCCCTGTTAATTTGAATTGTTTCAGCTTGCCTATACATTGCTCGACATAGTACTTTTGGAGGCTTTTCCTGAACTTGCCGTTGTAAGTATATTTGCAGATATGATTACAAATTAATATTCAACTACATGTACATGGCTATTTTGAGAATATTTATCTAATGGCAAAAACTTGGCTTGCTGCTAAGACAATTTTCTGCTAACACAGCCTTGACCGTAAGCATAAGCACTAGAAAAAAGCACACTTACCTCAGAGGAAAAATTTGCTTAACTTAGTGACGTAACACTAGAAATCTCCATGCGCATGTGACCGTTAGCACATCAACGCCGTGAAATAGTGCGTAAGATTACCAAATTTTTCTGCTATGCTAAGCACAACTTTTCTGCAAACCGTTAAGCAGCTGGGCCCTGGTCACCGATAACAGCCCTTACCTTAGGCTCGGACCATTATCTGCAGCCAGGTTTTAAAAACCACACAAAACTGCTACAGCACACTCTTACCGCCTTCTTTAAACAAAACATTAAATACGATTTGTACCTGTGGTTTCTATTTGTATTCAAATGAAAAGGAAAAGAAGACGACAAAATTATAAACAGAAAATCACTATCCCATTGTGACTTAACAAAATGTTTGCATTTCGCCTTTCAGAATGTGAAGGACCCATCAGCAGAGGCGTAAGCCGTATGTCATTGAAGTCTTCAACGGTTCTGTAACTTTGTTCTGTAAATATGTACCGATATGATCATGATATAAGTGATAACTAGCAATATTTCAATAACAGGGGAGAGCAGGTCCCATGAGTTTGACAGCGTGAAAAAAATAGCTCTAACTTTCGTAGAAGGATAATACGCCAATACAAATAATGACATTAGTAATGTGAATTAATGTTTCGGGTGGCATGGTTGGCTCGTGCATAAAGGGCCTCTCACCACTGTGGCCCTGGTTCGAATCCCATCCGCGGACCATTCTTGCCGTATGTGGGTATAGAGTTCTCACCTGTGCCACGAGGGTTTTTCTCTGGGCCCTCCGGTTTTCCTCCCTCTGGAAAAATCAAACACTTCCCATCTCAGGCTGTGCTCCGTGGTCATATATGGGTTGATGTGGCTGGCTGCCAAAGCCGCCTTTACATGCGAGCGGCTCGACTATATGTACATTGTGGTCGCGCTCTACGCAATTCAGTTTCTCAATTGCCAGTAAGGATGATTAGCGCCCCCCCCCCCCCAGTTATTATTAACTTGAAGTAAATTGTGAAAACCAAATACAGAGATGCGTAAGAAAAACTATTTATAAGTCAAATTCTGTCAATTTCAGTGAAATTTATTATGCATTCCTGATGTAAAGTGTACAAAATTAGGGCACATCATTTATGTCAATCTGTTGTATATTTCATACAAATTGAACAAACAAATTGTGGCTGAATTTTTTGTTTACGATTTGAATTTTTTTTTTTTAATTTATAAGAATACAGAATTGTTAAAAAATAATAATATGACGAATATAACATTAAATTATGCTATTTACTGATCAACGAAATCTAATACCAGAAAAAGAATTATATTCTGTTGAATTAGTAAAATTTTGTAATGAGAGATGTTTTTTATTTCAGAGTTGTCAAGTTACCTGAAAAAGAATTGTATTCTTTCAGGGATTGGATATTACTTGAGTACTCGCGAGTAGTATATGCTACTCATTCTACTCATGGTTTTTCATCTTCTTGAGTACTCGTCCTGGCACAAGTAGAAGCCGGTTCTCACAAGTACCAATTTAGGGTTTAGGGTTCACGGCTTAATACGTCCCCTGCAAACAGGGAATCACTCCCTCCGCCTCTCTCTCCTTTGTCCAAAAAAACAAAAAAACTCAAAAAATTCAAGCAAATGACTCAAAACGTTACACAGTAAGGATATCTCAGCGCTGAAGAATGTGATGTGACTTGCACGCTATTTGCTTGTAAGTTACTTCCCATCATACTAACATGTATGTCATTTTTCTGCTTTTATGGGAATTCAGTTGACTACTTGCAAGTATTTGACTAATTGCGAGTAATTTCTTTGCGAGAACTTGAGTAGAAAAGAACTTATGTAATTTGTTCACCAGTAGATTAGAAAACAATTGTACATTTTAGGTGAAAGAACATTTTGATACTGTGCAATAAAACAACCACCTATAACGATTTAACGTCAAAACACGTGCAGTATGTCTGTAGTGTGATTTGGAGGAACACCTTTTTCTTACATAAATTATTTTAACTATTATGCTTTCAACATATTAACTGAACTTAAAATCATTTGCACTCAAAAGTCAGGAAAATTCTAAATGTAACAATATAAAATGTACACTGCATGAATTTTCTGAAAGTCACAATCTCCCTACTAAAATATATATTTCAACCCGTGCTGGTTGTCATATTTCTAAAATTTAAAATTTAAATTTATGTAAGTTCTGAAAATGTATACAGTTTTGAACTCTAGGATTTGGTTGATTTCAGATAGCTAGGCTTAATTAAAAGCTAAATGTAAATGTAACTTAATTCTTCTTAAAATAATTCGTATTTTAATACTTCCCATATGTATGCAGAGCAACAAAACTCAGGAATTTATTTAACACATCCCTAAATTATTCATGTATGTATATCTAATACTAATTCACAATCCTTATCAAAAATACATACCATAATTCTTAGAAAATTATTGATGCATACCATACTGGCCAACAACAACTTAAATCATTGCAAAGTAAAATTTAAACTTTGTATTTAAAGCACAATAATAATCATGGATAGTCTTTTTTTTTCTCTCTCTTCAATACGATCATCAAAGTGCAAATATACTTTGTGGAGATTGTAATGCATGATTCATGACAGGTAAACATGTAAACATGAAAACATGAACCCAGTTTTAAAGAGTTGTACATTAAATTTAGTTCCGCAAGTTATCCATTACTTGTGAATAATCTCGTAACACTTTCGATTAGCAAGAACCTTGTTGGATGTACATGTTCCAAACCCTGACGTCTAAACGCAGGTTATCTCAAAGCTTATAAATCCAGTATCGGTGTACACTCCTTGCTAGATAGAGAGTTAACATCTGGGTTAAGTGTCTTGCCTAAGGACACAATGCATGGCAAACAGCAGGATTTGAACCCTGCAATTTTTTTTAGGTCAATTTGCATGCTCCACTGCGTACACATGTCTCTCATCACATCAATTACTTGTGCAAGTTAATAATATTAAACCATGGAAGCACACTTACCACCACCTCTGTCCAATCACATCCTCCTTTAACCCACTAGCAACTGTATACATTGTATAACATTGTATACATTGTATAACATTTTATAACATTGTATTTATTTCCTGAATAAATCCATAGCTGATAACCATACAGTGCTAGGGTGTTTGGGGGCAATAGAGAGGCTACAAAGGAGTTAATCACCCATATCGGGCATTGGAAGCTTGCTGACGGTCTCCTTGAATTCCTTCTGTATCTTCTTGAGGGTGTCTTGCCCGCTGGGTTGGAGCAGCTCGATGGCCGTCATGGCTAGCGCTTTGGCCTGGATCAACGTCGGGGCCTGAGCCTCGGGGGCACCTTGAGCGGGAGCAAGTGAATGTTTTGCCAATAAATGACAGTGTTGTGGTTGAGTCCATCACAAGTCCGGGTCAATATATTGCAAGTTCTTCAACAAGTCCAGCCACAAGAAGGGATGAACATCCACCAAGGACTGCATTTGTCAAAGTTTAGTTGAAGTGTTTGGACTTGACTTGGGACTGCAGGACTTGTGATGGACTTTGTTGTTAAACCAACAAAAGAAACATTGTTTCATGGATAGGTGGCAATGATTAGTCATTTGCAGCCTGGACTGTTAATAATTACAATGTCACAACAGGAAAGAGGTCAGGAATTGTTCCCCACTAAATACGCTTTAATCAAAGTCGTGTAAATTTGCTGTACCATCATTGTTCTAATTCTTGTTCATTTGTTCTTCCCTTGTTATTTGTTTGAGGAGATACCTGACCTGACTTCTTTTTTTTTGCAACATGAAGCTTACAAGAAATTATGGATGGATAAAATGATCAAATGCAAGCAGTTTGGTGCAGCAACATGATGAGTGGAAGTGAAATGCATGCATGACAAGTACGACAGGTGTTGGAGTGAAGCAATGGTACGAGTTTGCCGCCAAATTTCTCTCTACGCATAGGCCTTTTGTTCAGTCAGTCCCTATCCCAATACACTGTCAAAGTCATGACATCACCCAGGTCAACTCGGCCCCACTATGGTCACCAGATCACGTGCACTGCATTGGCCTACGTGAAAACGATCGATGTTTTGCTGAGGCAGCTGTAAACCCACGGTGTATATTTGGCTTGAAACTCCTTCAGGAAGCGAAGCAAGTGTACAACAGTTCTCGATAGTGTGAGGACAGCTCTGCTGTAAAGCACTCCTCCATTTTCAGGTACTTAGTGGTGACAATTTTCTATACATTCAGCATGTAAAATTGGTGTCGGTGATCGTGTGTGTTTAACCTACGTGGAATGCGTTGCCAAGGAATGCGCGTGAACTGTTGTCCAGCAGGATTAAGTAAGCTTGACTTTGGAAGGGAAGTGACGTCACGCTTCGGCAGCGCATACTACAGACCTGCTACTGATGCAAATGGTCTTGTGTGGATAGCCGCGTCTCCCGAGCCCGGGGTAAATTTGGGTTGGATACTGGGAACAACGTAGGACACGTTGCCCATGTCCGTGGAGCCCCCTCGTCTCAAAGCCTCGTCACGGCTAAACTCAACACCCATCCCCTGTGCGTGTGCTTCATACATGATGGACAGTCCGTCATTGGTGATTAGGTTGGCGTATGATATGCCCGATGCATCAATTTCCACCTGACAGAAGGAAGGAATGAGATCAGGGCCCAATTTGGTGGTTCTGGATACCGCTAGCAGAAAATTTGGAGTAACTACAGTAACCAATTAGTGCATTTGATAGATTAGTACGGAATTTTCACCTTCTGCACAAGTGTACACCCTGTAAGAATTCTTTGCAAACTGAGAAAGCGCACATTTTCTTTGCTAGCATTGTAAGCACAGAACAATGATTTTTTGAGTGAAGAATTCTGTGCTGCTTGTCACACTGAAGTTGGGCCAAGATTTTCGGTTCTTGGTTTCTGAGATGTTTGTCTCTCCTCAGGCACAATTCTGCACAGGCAAAAAGCCCCCAAAATTCTGGATTATACCCAAATTTAGCCCAGGAATTTTATCCCCATTATGATTTGGATGCTTTTCACAAAATAAAGTGATTCTTCTTATCAAGTTTTGCCTGTTTCTGCTTTCGCCATTGCTGACAATGGCTTTTGACGGTGGTTTCTCAGAGGAATACCTGGAATTTGTGACAAAAAATTGAGCCACTCACAGATAGTGAATTGGTTTTATGCGGACATCAACGAAAGGGTTTATTTGCTTAGAATATCTGCAATATGGCACCTCCCTGGAAACCAAAATGCTTGGTCCTTCCTTTATATTTGAGTTTGATTGTTGTGCTAGGTAAGGGTCAATGCATATTCAAGACCTAAAGCAAACCCAATAACCAAATCACCAATTCACACCCAAAAAAAAGTTTAAGAAAATGCAATAATTGTTAGTACAACTCATATCAAAGCTCAAGCATCAGCAGAAGCGCAACGTTTCAGATATAGACGATCTGCATGCTCAGGTCATCAATAAGCTGAAGACACATAATTGTTATGTTACTTCGAAGTACCTGCAAAGGCTACAAATTCACGAGAGTGGATGCTGGCACTATCTGTAATTCGGAATAATGGATGAATTCCTGGTACGTATTGCTGAAATCTGTTGATGCAAAGTTCAAATCATGTTCGCTCCAGTGAACGGCGAGGTCCCTAGTATAATTCTCATAGATGTCCATCAGGAGGCTGGTGGTAATCACAGTTGCATATGAGCCGTAAGTCCACATCTCTATCTGATATTTAAACACTGTGAGCCGGTGAATAGAGATGCATGTCATGAACTAACACAAACCCAAGCTAATGTTCTGATTTCAGGCTAAATTATTTACAGCAATGACAGGTCTATAGGATGGGGAGACTGACTGATCAGATTCCCGTGCATAAAGAGTTTATTGTAAGCCAATGATAAGCATGGTGAAATTTGAAGTTTCTGCTTGAGGAAACAGCTCTATTTTTAATTGGGCAATTTTGGATAGCCCTATATTTCCTCTGCCCAGGAGGTTGTGTTTTCGTCGGCGTTGGTTTGTTTGTTGGTTTGTCTGTTGACAAGATAACTCAAAAAGTTATGGACTATACATGCATCTGAGCGAATGCAACCAAACAATCACAACCTAAGACTGCTCAAAGGGCCCAGAACCATACAGCAGTCCATTCAAGTTGAACCATGATCTTAGTTTTTTTTTTACAATTACAATGAGAATGACAAGAACATTTATTTTGCGACGTAATTTCAGTGTACCTGCAGTGGCCATGAATTCACGAGCGTGGATGTTGGCACCGCCTGTAATTCGGAACAATGGGTGTATGCCTGGTACCACGTAAGACGTATTGCCGAAATCTGTCGAACCAAAGATCAAATCATGCTCGCTCCAGTGAACAGCAAGGTCCCTAGCATACTTCTCATAGATGTCCACCAGGAGGCTGTTGGTAATCACATTGGCATTCGAGCCCCAAGTCCACATCTCTACCTGATATTTAGACACAGATGTGAGCTGATGAGTACTACAATCCTCAACAGATTAGACAGTCCAGCAAGGGTAACTGCCAATCAAATAATCTTTGAAAAAAACTTCAACGGGGCTGGTTTGTCACTTATCTTGCTGCTAGTGTTCAGCCACATTCTCTCAAGAGGGAGCAATATTTTGTGTTGCTGTACAACACACCACACAGACGTGTAGGCCTAACTCTATCAACGTTTTTTTGTATGAACATGTGCTAGCTGCACGGGTTTATTCTCATATCACCTAAAATTTTGTCTGTGCCTGGACTTTGAAGGCTGTCAATGGCTGAAGATCTCTGAGTACCCTAGATAGGTGGCAGTGCAGTAAGCAGCAAGTCTTTCATAACCGCACATCTTGCAGACCTGCTTGTGAAGTTGATTACAATTCTGGTATCAACAAGAAGGCGTTTGAGATCAAGAAAAGCTCAATACGCTGGTACAATACTCGCACATATCATTACCCCAATCTACTGTGTCATCTGCCTTCTGAACATTGCGATCAATCCTTCTCCAAAAGTTGTCTGCAGAGTTGTGGACAGCCTCCTGAGGATCTCCAAATATTATACTGTGATCATCCAAATGCTGGATATACATGTACGCAGTGCTGACTATTAAGTGCTGCTAACAGTCCTACATATTGCTCTTTGTATCAAATGCTGGACCTAGGAAACACAGCTATCCATAAGATATCTTTTACAGCTGTTTTGCAGGTCTATATAGGATGGGGAGACTGACTGAACCAAAGTCCATGCCTAAAGAGTTTATTGTACACCAAGGATAAGATGTGTCAAATTTGATGTTTCTGCTTCAAGATGAGGTCAATTTTGAACGGTGCCACTTTTGACAGTTCTTTATTTTGGGGAATGCACCTGTTCATATGAACAGTCGGAGGATTTCTGGTTTCTAAAAATTTGAAGCTGTAGGACTCTTTACCCAGAATTTCTTCCTGCAAGCTGCATGAAGTTTGATGGGTTGATTGTTTGGCTGTTTGTTTGTTTGTTTGCTTGTTTGTTTCGTGGGTTGTTTTTTTTACAGGGAATCATGAAAGGAATATGAATATTCATGCATCTGAGCAAAAGCAACAAACAAATGACAAAACCCAGGAGTACCGACCAAAAAAAGAAGTCTATTTTGCTTGCATAATGCTTGCATAAGTATCAGAACCTCAACACGAACATTTTGTTAAATAATTTCATTATACCTGCAGTGGCTGTAAATTCTTGTGAGTGGTTGTTGGCACTGTCTGTTATACAGTACATTGGGTGTATGCCTGGTACCACGTAAGACGTGTCACCAAAATCTGTTGACCCCGCGCTCATTCCATGGCGGCCGTCCCACTCAAAACCAAGGCCACTTGCATACTTCTCATAGATGGCTACTAGGATGCCGTTGGTAATGACATTGGCATACGAAACCGGTTTCCTCATCTCTACCTGATTATTTCAAACCCAAAGTATCAAATCAATAATTGATTATAGTGACACTCATATGTGCTAACACATTCGTTATCAAAGTAGATCAATTAATAACCCTCCTATGCAAACATACATTCTGTGCCAAGTTGTCCTTTCACTTTTCAGTCAAAATCAATCGAGTGACTCTTTTTAACAGTAAAGAGCTCCCAGCCAACATAAAGAGCAGGATTGACTGGCTGTGACTGTTAATGTAACTTGATGCAGCTATGCTTTGAATTGTGATAAGCCAGCTGTGCCTACCACTTTTCTGCTTTTGTCTGTTGACTGAATTTGACTAGTCACAGTGCTTGCTTGAAATATGATCTCACTGTTGGTGACTAGCATACATGCACATGTGTTAAAGGCATGGCAGGGGAAGAGGATTAGTTTTTTGACTGTCTGTGACTATTCAGAATGCAGGGTTTAAATTCCCTTTACATCACCTCACATTTGACTGTCTTGAACACTCCATCATTGCAATACCTTTGTCTGGCTTAAAAAGTTGATTTCCCTTCTACAAAAGTTCAAGTTTCCCTGCGTTCCCTAAATGGGACCAAAGAATAAGTACTGTCTACAATGTACACTACTCCCTCCATCAGAACGTGTTCATGTACCTGTTGAAGTTATGATTAAAAAGTTGATCAACTGTGACATCTGTGACCAAAAAGGCCACAAACACATAATGATCTCTTTTTGTACATGGTTCCCGCCAACCTCGTGCCCCGTGGGTACGATCTTGCAGCGCCATGTTGTTTCCCATCATGCCTTGCGCGATCGTAACCCCTGGAATTGTGTAATTTAAATATACCAAAATACGGTATATTATAATTAGGGCTGCAGTTTATCTGTTTTACGTGCCGACGCCATCTTTAAAATGTTAAAAGTTGTGATTTTGAAGAATCAATCCTTTCAAACACAACGTTTGGACGTTGTGTTAATTAGCAAAGATTTGTATTAAATGTATGTACCCCTTTCGTGCCTTTACAACCACAGATACAGGGTTTTTTTTAGCGAAAAACACGGCTGACATAATCCATATCATACAGGCATCGCGACTTTTGAATCATAATTTTTTTTTTCGTACGTGACGTTACGTGCAAAGCTAAGCACGCGAGCGCGAGCGCATTATGGGCGCGCCCGGCATGCAATCTTCGAAATGCCCGCGCAGTACGCTGTGAATAGCCATTCAGCGTCATTTACGTCATCATCACAGCCAGGGGTTAGTGTAAGGAACGAGCACGCGCCCCTAGAGTCGAGGCTGGGTTCCCGCCTTCAAGGTGGTTGAAGCACCGGTTGCCATTCAACACTCAAGACTCAAGATCAACTTAGCTTGAAGTAAATAGGTTTAGAATCAAGACAAGGCAATGTAAGAAGCTGTGGGATGTCCGCGCTCAAGGGCGGATCCAGGGGGGGGCCAAAGGGGGCCATGGCCCCCCCCAAAACGAAACCAATTTTTTTTTTTTAATGTGACATCGCAATAAAGGCAGGCAATGAGTACACCACCATCTTTTCCTCAAAAAAAATTGGTTAAAGTGGTCAGAAATTGCCTCAGATCGCACCACAGAGCATCTAGAATCCAAAAAAATTTCGGGGCCCTCGCGGGCCCCGAACCCCACGCCGTAATTTTTTAGACCCACTTTTTTGGGGGACCAAAATTTTTTTTTGGCCCCCCCCAAAAATGTGTTCTGGATCCGCCCTTGTCCGCGCTCACCCATGGGGTAGAGTAGCTTTTGAATACCTGTCTTGTTATGTTTACTGGCTAAAACATGCTATAAAAGACCATCATATTAAGGGACTATTAACTGCTACTCACAGTCCTAAATTACTACGGTCAGTATCCAACCTACATGTGAATAAGCTGTGGACAGATGCAGCAATTAATAGGATTTCAGCTGTGGCAGTTCTATAGTATGAGAGGATTTACTGAAAAGCCCATGCGTACAGAGTTCACATTGAAAGCCAATCTGAACTTCGCCAAATTTTGGGTCTCTGCTTATATTAGACAGAATCTGAAAGTTTTAGACTGCGCCATTTTGGATTGTTCCATTAACTTGAGGATAGAAATGCACACTCATCGCATGTACAGTAACCAAAAATCTTCAACTACATGCAGCTCCTTCTGCAAGCAGATCGAGTGAAGTTTGCTTGTTTTTTGAGAGTCATGAATATTCAAGAACCTGAGTAAATGCAGCAAACAAAACACAAACTCAAGACTACAAGCAAAATCAAAACAAAACAAAGTAAAACAAAAACATATTTAAAACAAACAAAGAAACAAACAAGCAAAGAAATAGACAAAGGGGCTGCATTCTGTTCAGTTTGGGTGATGTTTTGAGTACACGCAATAAAAATGTAAATGCGAGAAGTTCATCAAGACCGTCAGTGTACCTGCATCGGCGGTGAATTCCCTTGAGTGGTTATTGGCACTGTCTGTCATATGGTACATTGGGTGTATGCCTGGTACCACGTAAGACACATTGCCGAAATCGGTCGACCCGGCACCGAATCCAGGCTCGTCTTTCCACTGCACACCGAGCTCCGCGACATACTTTTCATACGTGGCGACCAGAATGGTACTGGTAATCAAATTGGCGTACGAGGCCGAACTCCTCATCTCCACCTGAGTTTGAACCCAAAATGCGTTGAAAGGAGTGACTCTAGAGTGTGCTAATACATTGGTTTATGAACAATCTGAGTCTGGACTGAGGTTCAGCAACATCCCCTTGCATGGCCTCATATGGCACTGTCTTGAACCGACTGCCCAAAGATCTCTGAGTAACCGAGATGTTTGTCACTCCTTCCATCCCGGCAATAACTTTAATACTTACAATTTGAAATCGATTTCCCTTCTAGCACAACCTCTAGCCTCTTAGAAATCTTCAAAATTTTCCCTGGCACTGAAATAGTGCATCTCCCTGCTACCATCTTAAAGGCGTTTACAGCTGAAGCAACTTAAAGGCCTTCTGAAGACCTCTGATAACTCAAGTAGCTCAATCACTTCAAATCTTGTTATCTCATTCTTGAAATGGATAAGCTACGTTAACATCGCCTCAAAAATATCTGAGTAAACTTGACTGGGCAATTATCTATCCAAAAGCGCTCAAACATTAAAGACCATTCTTCTTTCAGGTCTTTATGCCTGAGTTCTTTGCCTTGACCAACGAGAACACCAAGTCCATTGATGGGACCTACACAAAGATGCTATGCATAGTCAAGAACATCTCCTGGCAGGATCAAATAAACCCAACACTTTCTTGTATTGTACCCTAGCTCCCCCCACCCATTTCTAGCGTTAGCAGAAAACCTCTGTTTTTGTTAGTTAGTCTTAGGCCGTGTCCGAAACGGGCTTCCAGAGCTACGGCTACGTCTATTGTCAGCGCGTCCCCGCGTATTTTCAATGGGCGCAGACCTAGACCTAGCTCTAGACAACTGATTCGGATGCAGCCATATTCTCCGTTGCAACAAGCCAGCTATAGGATTCTCCTGCTCTGGAAGAGGCTGGACCACACATCATCCTCAAGACAATCATTGAAGCCAAGACAGGAGAATCTATCTAATGTTGTGCTGGGCAGGGAATGATCGGTGAAGCTCATCAGGTCATCATGCCTTTGTGAATGAACAATGATGACAAAGGTATCTCTTGGACAATCTCCTGAAGATCTCCAAAACTGCGATCATCACACAGCTTTTTTGTTTACAAGTACAGCACGAAGTACACACAACTTTAAAATTTTATTCTGAATATGTACTATTATGGGCTCAGTGCGCCAACAAAAGAAGGCACACTTTTTTCACTTCTGAGAGCCCCTTGGACGGGGACTCCGGGTGTGCGCACTGTAATTCGCGTGCTAAGTACGCACGACTGTTTAATCCCGAATGTTCACAAAGCCAAGCCACAGCGTCTTCGTGCGTGAGCGTCGGGCGTCGTTGACGCGCGAATACGTTCGAATCGTTTAGAATTTAACTTGCGATGGTCACCCAGACAAATCCCTGACCCCAATAACTTCATCCGAAATACACAGTGGATTGATCGGGAACCACTTCTAGGTCACCCCCAATTCTCCTTTTCTGGCCGTTCATGGGGTACGTGTGCACGGAGCCCATAGCGTCTTGGCATGAACATCAGGCATTATCAGCAATGCGTTCGAATGTCTCTCCCACTGGTCTCTCCAACTCTCCCCTTCTTTCCATTGAGGGGGTCCTTGTGCACAGAGCCATTAACACCTGTTCACTGACACAAGACAGGCTATGACTCCTGCTTGTAGTGGAGCAAGAACCAGTGACTGTGGAGTCCTCATTTTTCCTGCATTGCAATCAAAGTTAATCTGGGAATGGGAGTTTTTCTTTACACTTTTCTCTTTCCAGGGAATTCCCATTTATTTCACAAAATGTAAAAAGAATTTCCCAGAGTGGGAAAATATTTCTCCCCCCCCCCCCATAAATAATTCGCGCCCCCCCCCCTGGAAATTTGGCATCCGGAGAAAAGCGAAGCCGTATGGGTTACCATGATTAGCTGGAAGAACATAAAGTCGTTTTTTTTCTGCGATTTGTGCGTATTTTTCACCAAAACCATTTCTTTTCGCGAGTGGCTGTTGATTTTAACGTCCATGGAAAGCGAATATCAGTAGTTATTGTCTAACATTAACCATGATATAGGTTTTGAACAGTGCCCCCATTGGGAAGATGGTGTCCCTTATAATGATCCAATTTCCCATTCCCATTCACAGTGTTAACTTTCAACTGCAATGTACTATATCTATTCCAGGGGCAGAGCTGATTTTCACCTTGTCTTTCAAATACTAATGCAACAAATTTCTTTTTAGTTAAAACCGAGTACATGTGCTACCTCTGTGCATTAACAATGTAGTTGGTAGGCATGCGATGCTCAAGGCACACAAGTAATGTGACCAATTGTGTACGAACCCGATATGACATACCAATGTCTACACCTCCAATACCAAGATAAGATTACTGGAAAAGAGATTATGACCAAACCCTACTTCCCGTTCTTTTACCTGCAGCTGCTTTGAATTCCAATAAAGTGAGCGGGGTACTGTTCTCAACCGAGTACATTGGAGAGATACTCGGCACGGCCCGAGACGTGTCCCCAAAATCTGTGGCCAGCAGCGTCTTGATCTGTTGGCCGTTCTTGGGCTCGATCCCAAGTTCCGTGGCATACTTCTCATAGAGAGTGGCCACAACGTCATTGGTCAGGAGCTTGGAATGCATGGCTTCAACTTCAACATTAACCTCCAAGTGAGCAATGCAGCAAAGCGACAGGGAAGTAGGAACGATTTTGGAGATTGATTATATCAAAGCATGAACAGCTGGCTTAACCGACTACGTAATGATAGGCTTACTTGTTTCAAGAAAATGAACCGGCAGATATATTTGTGGCTAAAAACATGTACTACATTTCATCCTAAATAACTCTGTTTATTACTAATGGAATTAAAACAAAATTTCAGATCATGTAAACAAGGCATGACAAAATCTATGGAGCGACTTTCATCAGCTTTGTGGAAGAGGGTGAGATTTAAATGCTGTACGAAAAAAAATCTCACTTTCAGAATGTCGTTACAGCTCTGGAGATGACGGCGGAAGGCACGTGCTGCAGCCGAAAGCTTCTGAAGGAATTATGCAGGATCATCCCTGATGTCGTTGCACACCTCCTTGATCGTGTGTTGCGCCAAATGATCGAGGTGTGCAATGACATCAGGGGTGATCCTGCATTCCTTCAGAAGCTTTTGACTGCAGCAAACGCCTTCCACCACCAACTCCAGCACTGCATCGACATTGGAGGACACCAAGTCGAAAGTGGCAGATTCTGAAAGTGACTATATTTTTAATTGAAGTGTTTAAATCACACCCTCTTGCGCATAGCTGATGAAACTCGCTCTATAAAATTTGTCATGCCTTGTTAACATGTTCTTAAATTTTGGTTTATTTCCATTGGTGAACAACAGAGTAGTTTAGTATCAAAAGTAGGATGTTTTTTGTATGACACATAGTACGAGGTGGCAGAGCCTTCAGTGTGTTTACCAAAAACCCTTCACACGGAAATTGTCCTTGAGCAGGATATTTTACTACAACTGTTTGATTTCATGACAAATGTCACTGTAATGACAGCATTGGTTGTGGAGCAATTAATATTGGATGTTAACCAAGCTTGAATATGAATGACGGAAACGTTTCAATTTTGGAAACTACCTGAAGATTCAGTAAATTTTCTAGAATGGTTAGCTGCATCGGTGGGAATACGGTAAGAAGGATGGATCCCGGGCAGTACGTAGGAAACGTTCCCAAAGTCTGTGGATCCACAGGGCTTGGACAACACAGAGGGATCGATGGGAAAGTCTACCGCTATTTCGTGAACGTATTTCTCGTACAGTGAACCAAGAGCATTGTTTTGGTTGATGTTAGCATATCCATCGTGAAATTTAACATCCACCTAAAATGAGTGACACAATTTAGGACGCATGATTAACAACTTCAGTGACAATTCTAAAAAATAAAGTCAGTTTAGAAGGCCACTTTCTGGTCTCCACAAAATGGAAAAAAAAATTTTTTTTGTAAAAAAAATTGTTGCATAACTAGTTGCATCACACAAATGCTGTAGTTTGGACCGTTATTGTTGTCAAAATTTGGCACCAACCTTGCATTCGGTTGCTATGGCAGCACCCTCAGCGCAAGCCTCAACTTTCTTCTTCAGCATGGCGAGCTCGTTTTCGTCAACGGCACGCAGGTAGTAGGTCAACTCTGCCTGCTCGGGAATGATGTTAGGAGCAGCGCCCCCATTGGTGAAAATCCCTACGACAAAAGAAAATCGTTTGAGCAGGTTCGATAGAGGACCAACGGTAATCTAAGGGTTGGTTTGTGATGCAATTTACGTTTGCGCACGAATAGCAAAGTTAAACATTCACTGTGTGTAATGTACACACACCAAATGTGGAGGGTTGCGATCCAAAGGTAAAGGCGTCGGATTCATGAGTGTGATGATACACGGGTTCAAACCCGGACTAGGAACACGGCGCTTATGTTGGTGGTCAAGACACTTCACTACAATTGTCTCTCTCCACCCATAAAATGGGTACCTGATGGGGTGAAGCTGTGATCTTGATCTGCCGCAGAAAAGTGGCCTTACCCGATGAACAGGGCATATAATTCTAGCTTTTCCACACTTTGGTACGAAGTGCTTTAAATAAGAAACCATTTTTTTTGTACCGTGAACTCTGCACGCTGGTTTCATCTGCTGCCTCATGTTGGAGATGGACTGGTAGCACGTGACGGCCGCATCCAGTGCATTGTTGCCATCCCACGGAGCTGCTGCAGCATGGGAAGCCTTGCCTTGGAACTTGATAACCAGACTGCCAACAAAATCCAATTGTCAAATCTGAAATTGCAACTTTGGAAATCCACGTTGACAATGGGTGCATTCGAGTAGCTCACCCAGATTGCTCTACCACGGGCCATCACGATCCATACGTGACACCCATAGCAATGGCCATCACTACTGTAGAGGTTTAGTCAAGTGTTTTCTTGTGGACCAAAGCATTTGCTGTAAGTTTAAGAAATGGAGGGATATATGGGAGCCAGTAATTGGTAGCAGACAGTGTTCTGCCCCCCCCCCTCCCATTTTTTTTTAATGATCGTTTGGCTTAGCTATCGTTGGAAATTGATAAAGAATTCCTCATTCTTGAAAATGACAATCACATAAGGCTCTACCATTTCAAAGGATGCTTGACAATTTTGTAAAGTTACAACCACTGTACAACTTAATACAACTGTTACTGTACAAACTTAAAGCTATTGCAAAATAATTTGCCAATTCATTTTTGAGTTTTTGGCAAATTTTGTGCTCAGCCATTTAATGTATAGTGGAATCCGGCGACCAGAAATGAAAGCTTTTACTGCGGTGGTGTCACGCTCAGGCGCATGCTGCATGGTTCTTAAAGACGAGGCGCATCTTGGTAATTCCTATTAGTCGAAGGAGCCCGGAGTGCGTGTGTACTACCTGAGCGTAACTCATGCGAGCCTTGCGCCACCACAGAAAATGGCTGCCGCCAGATTTGTCTTTAGGCCACTCACAAACAAGTAATTCAAGAGTCTTACACTGTCATTGACAGAGCAATAGGGCGTGGCACGTTGTATCTGTAAGGATGAGCCATCATGGCTACAGCAATGCCAACAAAGGCATTGGCCTTGATGAGACGTTTCTTGCCGCCGCCTCCCTCTTCACCTGGTGTCCCTAGTACCGTCACCTAGAACACAAAAAAAAGATACAGAAGAATCAAGTATTATCATCAAGTCAGTGCACATTAATAATAATAATAATAGTAATAATAATGGGTATTTATAGAGCACACCATTATTGGTGCTCAAGACGCTACATCATTATTACCCTGGTCAAAATACATTCCCAAATACCATCTCAGCTCCCTGGAAAGTATAAAGCTCGATGCTGCCATTTCGGCGCAAAGCAGCTTAAATCAATACCCACATCAATAACCATATCTGCCCTCACAGGTGAGAAGTACCAATTAACTCCTGGGTGGGGAGAAGCAATGAGTGACAAAGTGCCTTGCCCAAGGGCACAGGCACCATAGCCGCAGGCTGGACTCGAACCCATAACCTGCAGAATTACCCGCAGACCACAAATTCAATGCTTTCACTGATAAATGTGGTCCACGTAAACTGAGCACCTTGATTTAAAAACATAAGCCTGAACCATCTTTTGCCAAATTGGTCTGATTTAGCACTGCCTAATTCAAGGGCCGAGGGGGGCTTGAATGTATTTGAGATTCCTTCATGGTATTCTGTGAAGCTTTTATACATGTATAACTTAACATAGTTGCATTGTAATTTTTTTTATTACTGCACTGAAGAGGAAGTAACATGCAAGTTGCCGACCTTTCCGTATTTATTTCCGCTAGCCTCCAATGCAGCCTTTATGCCGATCCCGGCGGCCACGCCACACTCTGCGATCAGATTATGCCCACAGGCATGGCCAATCTCTGGCAGGGCGTCGTACTCGCAGATCACGCAAATGTTGGGCCCAGCGTTGTCGGAACCAAACGTTGCCCTGTAAAAACAAAACCAATGAAAATGTCCTTAAATGCAGTACATTTGAAACCTACATGTACTTGGCCTTTCTTTGCAGTGTGAAGTTTGGAACTTGGCTGTTATTGACCAAATAACAATTTTTTTTTCAAACATTTATCAAAAAATGGAAAGAAAATATTTTAGCTTTTAAGACCCTTTACCACTAAGGATTTAAAAAGCTTATTTATCTTGTCTGTTGCAGGGGTCTGCGATGATGAAAAAGGTACAAACAAATTTGAGCACCAGTTTATTGGAAGAGTACAATGAAATAAAGGCATTAATGGTCAAACATACATTAAATAGGATAACTTTAAATGTTTCTGCTATGTGTAACAACTTCTTAGAAGGGCTAAACAGTGGTGAAGCAAGACATTTTTTTTTGGGGGGGGGGGGGGCAGGGTTTACCAAATCTTTTCCCCACAAATTCAATTTGCCAGACAGCCATGCTGATGATTTAACTTGCATCCGCATATCGGGTGCAAGCCGACATGTGCAGAGAGGTTTTCCAGCATGTTGATAAGATGCGTGGCCCCTCCCCCTTCTCCCCCACCCCCGCCCACCTATGAGCAGATTGCATTAAAATGGACCCAGCACGCCAACCTGAAAGCTGTATCCAGCACAAAGTGACGCTCCACGTTGAACCCTTCCTTCTCCAGGTAGTCCGTCAGCACCTCGTGGGCGTGGTGCTCGTTGAAGTTCAGCTCCGGGTGGGACCAGATCTCCTGGCTTATGGTGTTCAGCTCGCCGGCCGAGGCGTCAATCTTGGACTTGGCTACCTTCATGAAGTCGGCCATGGTCAATGGATCCTGGGGTGGAGCCCCGTCTACAGATCGCCTCAAAAGCCTGCTGCTTGCGCAGAATAAATATGATAAAAAAAGTGTAGTTTTTCCGTTGCTTTTTGGTTATAAAGAAATAATTGCAAATTTCATCTATATAATTTACAAACATGTACTCCCTCGCACTTTACGGCTGGCTGGCAAATAGCAACGGAATTAGCATTAAAATAAAACATTGTAATCTTGCAAAATTCCAAATTTGTCTTTCTTTTATTGTCTTAATTAAATAATTTTTAATTCAGATTATGAGGATTGTTTTTCAAGGGCGAGGCATACATGTAGTGTAAGACTAGTAAGAGCAATGTAGCAATGGCATTAAAATGTTCACATTACGACGATCTTCTCATTGTACAATAATTATTTATCAATCTTCAAATTCCACAAATGTTCAATTTTCTTTAAAGGGAAGATACAACATTTGCAAACATCACAAAATGAAATGATCAAATTTTCACAAAATACCTTACTGGATTGTTAGGGAATAACAGTCTAAAAAGGATCCTGTAAAATCGTGGCTCCTGGTGTGCTGACATTTTCAAAAAAAAATTGTATTTTTCCAACGCTGGTCAGCTGACCAGCATTGGAGAAAACTGGATTTTTTTTTCTCAATATTTTTCCTAATTAGTTTTTCCGGATGTTCTTTGCAACTGATTACAAACCTGTGAAGAAGTACTACTAGCCTGCTAGACTGATTTTCTGACCTTACAATTCCCCAAAGTAAAAAATTGCTCTACAATTTGACTACAATAACATGATTGGTTTTCTTGTTTTTTTCAGCATCTAATTCAAGCCCAAAACGTGAAACAAGTCATTTTAACAATATTTGCTATAACTACTGATCCTCCAAATCCATTTATTTCTGAAAATTGCAGCAAATGTTGTACATTCCCTTTAATCTAGAACTAAGGTCATGAATTTATTGTGCATGAACATGATGAACCATATCCCCCCCTCCCCCCCCCCAACTAAAAAGGTCAATCCTCATCAATTGGTTTCATCCCATTCTTGGGGGGGGGGGGGGGGGGGGAGGAGAGAAATCTGAGTGATTTTAGGCCTAAAACTTTTGACCCGCCCCCAATCTGCCAATTAATGTATTTTTGTCCCACCTTTGACCCCGCCCACTTATGACTGTTGATAATCCTTTGGCTTCCCATAGAAATGCAATGAACATAGAACGATCGCAACACACACAATACGACCACACACAATGCAGCAAAAGCAATTGTTGTACATTCCCTTTAATCTAGAACTAGAACTAAGGTCATGAATTTATTGTGGGCAGTTGGTATTTTGCGGAACTCGCAGAACGTGCAGAACTCTGCGGAACTCTGCAAAATTGTTAATAAAACACTAAATTAAGATGAAATACTGGCTTTCAAAGTACAGCAAGGGCCAAATCTCATTAAAAAGTCCCAAAATCGCCATAATCTGTCCTTAAATGAATTGAAAATAAAAGATTTCCCACCTGTTTGTGCCGTCGTATAATAATTGTGTGCAGTATTTGCAGAACAGTGCAGAACACATGCTGTACAGGGATACATGCCGTTTACAAACCAAGGGTGCAGCTTTGACTCAGTGCTCTGTGAAGCACGTGTTTTAAACAGTTGATAGGGGGATAATGTACCGCTGCAGAACGAATTCTGCCGAAGTAACATTATGGAATGATCGTAATGTTTTATTTGCAATGTCGACAAGTGTCTTATATCCTCCACATGTTCATGGGAAGGCCCTCTGTATTTAATAGTTCCATGTTTTACCCAGGCAACGCGATCAATGGGTGCGGGCCTCCAAGAGTTTCGCGTTTGACACAGGCAGAATCAAAATTAAAAATCATCACAATGTTTTAATTTTAATCTGGATAAGTGTATTATATTCTCAACAACTCCTCTGATTTTTTTCTTTCGGAAATTCACCCGGGAAGACCTTTTAAAATGAGAGTTCCGCGTTTTACCCACCTAGGATTTTTGTGCAAATAGGCCCAATTGCACGGTATATGCAGTATACGCGATACTGGCTCCGATGCCGTAGGAGGGGGCATCTTTAGCGCTGCAGAACCAACATTAAAAATCGTCACAATGTTTTAATTTTAATCTGAATAAATGTATTATATTCTCAACAACTCCTCTGAATTTTTTCTTTCAGAAATTCACCCAGGAAGACCTTTTAAAATGAGAGTTCCGCGTTTTACCCACCTAGGATTTTTGTGCAAATAGGCCCAATTGCACGGTATATGCAGTATACGCGTACGTGCTCCGATGCCGTAGGAGGGGGCATCTTTAGCGCTGCAGAACCAACATTAAAAATCGTCACAATCTTTTAATTTTAATCTGGATAAATGTATTATATTCTCAACAACTCCTGTGATTTTTTTCTTTCCGAAATTCACCCGGGAAGACCTTTTAAAATGAGAGTTCCGCGTTTTACCCACCTCGGTTTTTTGTGCAAATAGGCCTATGCACGGTATGTGCAGTATACGCGTACTGGCTCCGATGCCGTAGGAGGGGGCATCTTTAGCGCTGCAGAACCAACATTACAAATCGTCACAATCTTTTAAATTTAATCTGGATAAATGTATTATATTCTCAACAACTCCTGTGATTTTTTTCTTTCCGAAATTCACCCGGGAAGACCTTTTAAAATGAGAGTTCCGCGTTTTACCCACCTAGGTTTTTTGTGCAAATAGGCCTATGCACGGTATGTGCAGTATACGCGTACTGGCTCCGATGCCGTAGGAGGGGGCATCTTTAGCGCTGCAGAACCAACATTAAAAATCGTCACAATCTTTTAATTTTAATCTGGATAAATGTATTATATTCTCAACAACTCCCCTGATTTTTTTCTTTCCGAAATTCACCCGGGAAGATCTTTTAAAATGAGAGTTCCGCGTTTTACCCACCTAGGTTTTTTGTGCAAATAGGCCTATGCACGGTATGTGCAGTATACGCGTACTGGCTCCGATGCCGTAGGAGGGGGTATCTTTAGCGCTGCAGAACCAACATTAAAAATCGTCACAATGTTTTAATTTTAATATGGATAAATGTATTATATTCTCAACAACTCCTGTGATTTTTTTCTTTCCGAAATTCACCCGGGAAGACCTTTTAAAATGAGAGTTCCGCGTTTTACCCACCTAGGATTTTTGTGCAAATAGGCCCAATTGCACGGTATATGCAGTATACGCGATACTGGCTCCGATGCCGTAGGAGGGGGCATCTTTAGCGCTGCAGAACCAACATTAAAAATCGTCACAATGTTTTAATTTTAATCTGAATAAATGTATTATATTCTCAACAACTCCTCTGAATATGTTCTTTCAGAAATTCACCCGGGAAGACCTTTTAAAATGAGAGTTCCGCGTTTTACCCACCTAGGTTTTTTTGTCCAAGTAGGCCTATGCACGTTATGTGCAGTGTACACGTACTGGCTCCGGTGCCGTAGGAGGGGGCATGTTTATCGCTGCAGAACCAACATTAAAAATCGTCACAATCTTTTAATTTTAATCTGGATAAATGTATTATATTCTCAACAACTACTGTGATTTTTTTCTTTCCGAAATTCACCCGGGAAGACCTTTGAAAATGAGAGTTCCGCGTTTTACCCACCTAGGTTTTTTTGTCCAAGTAGGCCTATGCACGTTATGTGCAGTGTACACGTACTGGCTCCGATGCCGTAGGAGGGGGCATATTTAGCGCTGCAGAACCAACATTAAAAATCGTCACAATATTTTAATTTTAATCTGGGTAAGTGTATTATATTCTCAACAACTCCTGTGTTTTTTTCTTTCCGAAATTCACCCGGGAAGACCTTTTAAAATGAGAGTTCCGCGTTTTACCCACCTAGGTTTTTTTGTCCAAGTAGGCCTATGCACGTTATGTGCAGTGTACACGTACTGGCTCCGGTGCCGTAGGAGGGGGCATCTTTAGCGCTGCAGAACCAACATTAAAAATCGTCACAATCTTTTAATTTTAATCTGGATAAATGTATTATATTCTCAACAACTCCTGTGATTTTTTTCTTTCCGAAATTCACCCGGGAAGACCTTTTAAAATGAGAGTTCCGCGTTTTACCCACCTAGGTTTTTTTGTCCAAGTAGGCCTATGCACGTTATGTGCAGTGTACACGTACTGGCTCCGATGCCGTAGGAGGGGGCATCTTTAGCGCTGCAGAACCAACATTAAAAATCGTCACAATATTTTAATTTTAATCTGGGTAAGTGTATTATATTCTCAACAACTCCTGTGGTTTTTTTCTTTCCGAAATTCACCCGGGAAGACCTTTTAAAATGAGAGTTCCGCGTTTTACCCACCTAGGTTTTTTTGTCCAAGTAGGCCTATGCACGTTATGTGCAGTGTACACGTACTGGCTCCGGTGCCGTAGGAGGGGGCATCTTGAGCGCTGCAGAACCAACATTAAAAATCGTCACAATCTTTTAATTTTAATCTGGATAAATGTATTATATTCTCAACAACTCCGCTGATTTTTTTCTTTCCGAAATTCACCCGGGAAGACCTTTTAAAATGAGAGTTCCGCGTTTTACCCACCTAGGTTTTTTTGTCCAAGTAGGCCTATTGCACGTTATGTGCAGTGTACACGTACTGGCTCCGATGCCGTAGGAGGGGGCATCTTTAGCGCTGCAGAACCAACATTAAAAATCGTCACAATCTTTTAATTTTAATCTGGATAAATGTATTATATTCTCAACAACTCCTCTGATTTTTTTCTTTCCGAAATTCACCCGGGAAGATCTTTTAAAATGAGAGTTCCGCGTTTTACCCACCTAGGTTTTTTTTGCAAATAGGTCTATGCACGGTATATGCAGTATACGCGATACTGGCTCCGATGCCGTAGGAGGGGGCATCTTTAGCGCTGCAGAACCAACATTAAAAATCGTCACAATCTTTTAATTTTAATCTGGATAAATGTATTATATTCTCAACAACTCCTGTGATTTTTTTCTTTCCGAAATTCACCCGGGAAGACCTTTTAAAATGAGAGTTCCGCGTTTTACCCACCTAGGTTTTTTGTGCAAATAG